ACCTTTTTTTTTTTTTAACTGTCCCAAAATAATTGTCCTGGTTCAAAATTCAATGAACTAAATTTTTAATATTGCTAATTTACCCTCTTACCTTGAAATAAGCCCCTCAGTCAAAGAATACCATGACAAAAATATTAAGAGGACATATTAGAAAATTCATATCATACATTATAATAATAAAAAAAATATTAAAAAATTTGCACTCTTTCAAAGTTATATTCTCGGCCAGAAATATCATTTAAGCAATGTTTTTGGAACGAGTAATGTTACAAAAATTGATTGTATTTTTGTAATTATTTCAATAAATAGAGTCCAACAATTAACTACTTTTTAAAAGAATTAAAAAAAAAAAAAATTTATGACAATAATTAATTGTCATATCAAATCCGTGTATAATTGAACAAAAATTAATCATCAAATATATTAGTTTCCTTTTATATATAATAATAACATATAAATAAAGATTGAATTTAGAGTTATGGTACGGAATCCAAAAATCAGATAACTCCGGCCAACCATTTCTACATAAGTGAAGAATGATCGGATTAGGTACCATGATTAGCATCTTCCTTAAATTTATCTCCAATCCTCTTTCATTCCGGTTAGATAGAACATCCTACCGAACCTCTCACTTGCCATTCTATCAAATAATTTCATGGTACGGAATGACAGTTAGCATTCTTTACTATATAACTATATATATATATATATATATATATATGGTTGTATGTATAGTCTAGATTGTCTAGTGTAGTGTCGTCGCCCTAGTCTAGATTGTCTAGTGTAGTGTCGTCGTCCAAATCTTTCCACCATGCCTCATATATATATATATATGGTTGTATGTATAGTCTAGATTGTCTAGTGTAGTGTCGTCGTCCAAATCTTTCCACCGTGCCTCATATATATATATATATATATTTATATTTATGGTTGTATGTATAGTCTAGATTGTCTAGTGTAGTGTCGTCGTCCAAATCTTTCCACCATGCATGAGGCATGCACACTATATATATATATATATATCCATCTACCTTTTCCTTTTTTTTTTTTATAGTAAATTGTCCATCTACTTCCTTCAATGATGCCTTAAAATTGAAAAATCAAATTGTGATTTCTAATTTTGTTTGCAAATTATTTCCAACAAACTCTTATTTTTTGAAACTTGGATTTTAAAAATAGTGGACAAGGCCAATGCAATTATGAGGGTGATATTTCATGTCATGTAGGCTGTAAGATGTTGATATATACCAAATTATGAATACAAAAATTAATTTGAGGTCCAAATTTGGACCGAAGTATCCCAACTCGTATGAGTATCGAAATGATATTATGACCAGTTATTAATTTCTTGATGCAGACTAATTAAATTACACAACAATTTATAAAAGCAACGTTTAGATTAACCCATAATGTGATCGGTAACATCACATATATTTTGTATTGAACATTATGCGTATATAAGAATAGCCTTAAAGGTGAACTAAAAATTCTTGATTTCACAATTTATTTATTTATTTATACTTTTTTTACAATAAACATTATACATGAACAATTTATTAATTAAATCACTAAATAATATCCGTTAAAAAATTGTAATAGTTGTTTTTATTCTTCCGTTACTTTCGGCCATAATTCCAAAAGAGGCAAAGTCTACAACCACTAAAACAATGAATTTTATAGTAAAAAGTTAGATGATAATTAAAAATGAATTTTATAAAATGATATGATTGATCGGTCTTTGCTCATTATGACAAAAGACCATCAATGTGGCTTTTAATTATAGAATACAATCCCTCTGGTCGAATTCCTTGCTTAAATTTTTGGGTGATCTTTTATCTCCTTTATCTTTCAGTTTATTAATATATATACTAAAATTTAGTACAGGTGAATTTTACTTTGTTATAATTGTGTTTCAAAATTGTAAAATAATTCTTAATTTTGTGATTTTTTTATTAATTTTAAATTTTTTATGTTTGCGACATCTTACATTGTCTAAGGAAAGGTTTGATTACTCTTGTGTGTGTGGATACCCTTTAATTATGTAGAAACGATTTGAGCAAAATTATAAGTATTAATTTGCAAAGTGAACAATATTTACACAAATTGAGGCGAATCGTGACAAATGGTATCACAGTTAGTCTCCAGTTGAAAATGGGGGTGATTTAATCACATTATATGTGTGGACACCTCTCTTTTTATCCACGTAGACGCATTTTGAGACAAAATTTTGAGTATTATGAGAAAAATATATAAAATAAACAATATTTACACGAGTTAAATGAGTCGTGATCGGGAATATCAAAGATAGAGTGCCCAAAATAAATGATATCTACCTTTGGGAGAGTTGTTACAATATTCACATGAGTTGAACGAGTCGTGACAGTTATTGACATATTTTTATAATTAAAAAAGATGGTCTTGTACATAATTGGGTAAAAAACTTTCCCTACTCCATATCGAAAGTGACATATGATTCAAGCGTAAAAGATTGTAGTTACCAGCGATTCACCAGAGTACAAGAAATATCTGTGTGTGTGTGTTGTGTGTGTGTGTGTGATATTGACTTATTTGAGGCTAAAATTTGAAAATGTGGTACAAAGTTCCCACCAATCACCATCACGACTAATCACCGCCTACATTTGTCATTCTTCTGCGGGGGCCTCCCACGCCGATTGTTCCCACACCGGGCCCACATGATCACCGCCTGGTTCAACCAATCATACATTTTCTTATTAAAAATATATAAAAGGACAACATTTGTATAATTAATTTAACTTAATTATTACTAGTATATATTAGAAAAAAGAAATGTTATAATAAGGACAATTTAACGTAACCATTCATGACTTCTTTATACTTTAGGTATAAAGAGTAAGCAACATGCCCATTGTCTTCAAGTATTTGTCTTATAAATATTTGATAGACGACATGCAAAGATGGAACACTCAAAATTCCATATCATTTTGAATAATTTGATCATTTTATCACTTTAATTTTATACAGTTACGGCTTAAGAGTGAGTGCAAAAGTAAGAGTAAAATTTAAAAATAATAAAATTTAAGTCATACAAAATGAAATGAAATATAAAAACAAAATTCGTTTAGAAGAATTGTGGAGATTTACATAACAATTTACTTATTTTTTTAATAAAAAATAATACAATCATCACTAAAAGTAGTGTGGAGAAATTTTTTTTCAAAATATTATAACAATACTTTTAAAAGACAATTATATGTCATTTTTCCTTTTTATTACTAGTATATTAATATATTTTAAGGGTTAAAACAATAATTTTAGATTGATTCGAAGTGGTTTAGCTGACCATTCAAGGATCTTTCATGTATTTAAAATTGTTAACGACTGGACTCTACTTGTCATGTCAATTGACCGAACAGCGAAAGCCTAACAACTCTAATATTTAAGTATGTTTACAAATTTGGTCTATGTAACAAAACTCTTTTAATATAGATTAGAGTAACACATAACAAAGAACACGGGTAGTCTTATATTTATTACTGGATTGAGATAGTTTTTATCGAACTTAGTTCGGTTCGATTCTTTTATAATTTGATTCCAACTTTTGATTCCAACTTTAGAATTAAAAAATTGTTAATTTATGGTTCAGTTTTAGTTCTAAATTCAATAGAATCGAGCCGTAAATTAAATAAATAAATAAATATATATATATATATATATATATGAATAATTAATGTGAGTATCCGGAGACCTATTTTGTACTTTCATTATGAAAGCGTTCACGATTCGTTTGTTTGGATGTAAAATATTTTTATTTTTATTTTTTGATTCTTGATTATTGCAAAATATTTACAAAGAAATAAAATATTTTTTATGTCTTATATTCTAATATTAGCACAGTGGCTTAGTGAGAAATTTGATACTAGTTTTTTTTATTATATTAATTGTTTAGGAGGTTCTTGAAAAAAAAAAAAAAAAAAATCAGATTCCAGCCATATCATTTGATTTATTCCAGGGTTCAACGATTTCGATTCTAATTCTAATTATCAAGAGCTATTGTAATCGGTTTGATTTCAATTTAATCAAAAAACGTATTGAACTGAATTGTTGCACCCAAGTTTTCATGACTCTTGTAATGGAAAAGTGTTACAAGGTGTCATTTGTTTTACATTGGATCCAGATGAAAAATAAATAAATGAAAAATAAATAAGTGGATATGCAGTACTACCCAGCAGGTTGAGTTTTTTGGTAAATGGACAAGCGTCCACCTGTTACAGTTGGTATCAGAGCCAGATCAAGTCCTTAAGCATGGTGGCCCAACTGCGACGAGGATGTTGCTCAAGTTTCCAACAATTTGAGTTTTTAGATAAATGGGCAAGCACCAACCTTTTATAAAAGGGTATTTTAATATTGAGTCCTACTATTTAGCCCGACAAGTAAAAACCTAATACAACACCGAGTCTATGTGCCTATTTATGTATCAAATATAATATGATTCATATAAAGTATAGTATAACTATTTAGAAAGTTGTAATCTTTTTTTTTTTTAGGTTTCATCTAGTATCTTTGTTAGTCAATTAAAGTGTCAATCACCATATATATCAAATTATGTATTTATTATATATCACATTGCAACAAAAATAAGGAAAACAAAAAAATAAATAAAAATTTGATACAATCATAAATGGAAAACAAAAAAAATAAGGAAATGAGTTATAAAAAACTAAAAAAGAAAAAAAGAAAAAGAGACATATTTTATAGAAACAAATAAGAGTAGTAATTATGTGTATTTAAGTTGAAATTCTAAAATAATCACGTCATATTTTATTTAAAATCCTTAATAATATCATTTTCCTTTAATAATAGTAGCATTATTCTATATATATATATATATATATATATATATTATTTATGTTGTAAAACGTGACAATAAAAAAGAGAGTCACAACAACAATTATGAGGTGCACTTCACGGTAGACCTACTCCTATTTTTATGTCCAACACTTATCAATGATGCTCAAAACAAATACAGTACCAAGTTTCAAAAAATGGAAAAAGTCCTCTTTCGTCATTTCAACAAAATTCCCACTTCAATTCCCATCGTGCTCCCCTCACTCTCTCTCTCTCTCTCTCTCCCCTCTGGTCTTCCTCCTCTTCCTTTCTGACTCTGCAAATTCTGTAGAGAGATAGTGAAAGCAGGTTAGTGAGAGAAAACAGACAAAACAAAAAACCCTAGAGAGAATACTCCATTTTCATGGAAAATCTCTCGCACTCTCTTTCCCGGAAAGCTTACAATGCCAATGGCTTCGCAGCTCAGACCATCTACACCGACGTTTTCAGAGGCCCGCCCAAGTTCGGAGCCTCCACTCTCTCTCCTCGGGTCGAAGACTACACTGAGATCTTCGGTAGCTTTCGCGCCTCCCGAGCTTCGTCTATCCCCATTCTGGATCTTCCGGTGGTTCAAGAATCGGATGCTTCTTTCGATGTTCGGAGCTTTGACTACTCTCAAGTTTTCGGCGGTTTCAACGGCCTAGATTTCGCCGTCTCTTACCAAGAAGTTTTCAGCAAATCAAACAGTGGAGATGATTCGTCAGAGGATGCTTGGTACTGTACTTGTACCTAATGCTTCATTTATTAGACTTGGAAATGTCAAATTAATGTTTATATTGTTTTCCTAATTCTAATATCTGTCAGTTTTTAGTATCTAATAGTCATTTTGCGTACTTTTTATTTATTTATTTATTTAAATTCTTTATTTATTTATTTTTATTATTATTATTTTGTAGAAGTACATGTACAGTTTTTTGCCTTTTGTAGCTAATTTGTGGGTTGAAATACTCATATTTGAGCTTGACTACGAATTGGGTTTTGAGTATATTTTTAGCTTCGGCTTCAAGATATAATATATGTTTTTTTGTCAAAATTTTATCTCTATGCTGAACTTTGGTTGCTTTTGGAATTGGGTTTTTTTAGAGTGATACAAGCTTCAAAATTTTTTATATTAGATGGATTTTCAGATAATTGATAATTATTCATGTGACGGGTGTAAAAATGGTGGATAATTTTTTCTCCCTCCCCATAATTTGAAGTGGGAAAATAGGAGGCAAGGTAGATGATGAGAGAGTGATTTGAAATAAACTGGTTTTGAGCTACTAGTTCAGTTTCTGGAACATTGTATAACACTATGAGTTTTACAGTGTCCTGTATCACTGGAAATGGAGGGAGAGGTTAGAATTTACTGAAATTTGTATTCTTTTAATATATAAAGAACTCATCAACATAGCATCTTGATCCTTAGGTTGCAATTTGCTGCTACTGGGCATGTCATTTTGTGGCTCTTAACTTTGTGGTTCTTAACTGATTCCATTATGGCTGAGGTAGAAATTTGATCTTTCAATTTCTTCTAAATGTTTCTTGGATGCAGGACTCCAGCAGCAAGTGGATCGTTGTCGGATGAGTCGGATCCTTTTGTCCTTGGTGAAAATAATCAAAGCTCGTTAAATGAGGACTCTGGCGAGTCATCTGTTGAATGTAAGCAGTTCAATATATCATATAACAAGGCCAATCAAAGATACAAGGAAGATGTGGCAAATGGGATGACACATGTAACTCAATTACATGCTGTTCCTGGATTTACTTATGTAGTTAATGGAACTTCGCAGAAGATAGAAGATGAGATTCCACCTTTAGAGGTACTTGATGATCTTAATCTCAGCATGGATTTTAGCAGGGGAATGAAGGAAGGAAAAGTATTCAGAAAAACTATGTCACTCCCCCCAAACTGTACTTCCAGCTTGCAGACATTTGGAAGTGATCACAAACTTCCGAAAGGATATGGAAAAACCAATTCTTTTCCTAATGAGCCCTTTTTAACTCTCTCTGATATCAGCCTCAGAACTCGGCCCTCTCATTTGCCACCACCCTCAAGGCCACCACCTGCTTTATCCATGAAAGAGGGGGATTGTGATAGACAGAACTCAAAACTCACTTACTCCAAAAGTTATGCTTTTGAAAGAAAGGCAGATGATGGTTCTCCACCTTTCCTTGATGTGGAGGTAGATGCAAGTTCATCTGCCGTGGCCTCTGCTGCGGCTATGAAAGATGCAATGAAAAAGGTTCAAGCAAAACTAAAAAGTGCAAAAGAACTAAAGGAAAGAAAGAAGGAGGGTCTTCAATGCTGTATGAAGCTGGGCTTGAAGAATGATCTAAAAGACGAGGAGGAAAAGCCGAACAAGAGTTTGGATGGATTGAACAGTTTTAAAGATGTGAGAAAGCAGGGAACATGTGAAAGTGAATGCAGTGAAGTAGAAGCCTTTGCTGGGGACGAAAAGCCAAAAGTAATGAAGTCGAGCCAGGTAGTTTCAGATTACATAGAGGGGGAAAGAAATATAAACCTAGGTAAAAAATATACAAAGGAAAAGCATGGGAAGGAGTTTAGATCATCTACAGCATCTCACAGAAGTGAAAGAACTGTTGCATGGAGAGAAGGAACACAATTTTATGAAGTTGTTGAGACGGATGAACCCAAAACAAACATTGAGCAGGCAAAGGATGAAAAGATTTCCATGCAAAATAAACAGTTTCATGAGCAAGGACAGGAGAAAAAAGCAGCCAAGGGAGCATTTGAGCTGCAGAAAGACGGTAATAGGAAAAATAAAGCAGCCAGGGATGCTCACATATGGAAGGGCAGTGTAAATAAATTAGAAGTGGCTGAAGGGGCTTGTAAATTGGATGAAGACAAGGGGATGTCAGAAGCAACTAGAGAGTCGTGCTTGAAAGGGCAACATGGGAAGAAAGTAGAAGTGGCTGAAGAGGTTTGTGGACGGAAACAGAATGTGAAGAAACCTACAATCATCCAGCTGCAAGGAGACATTGAGAAGATACTAACTGAAGCTGATATATGCGAAAAACATGAGAGCCTGACACAAGTTCAACGGAAAGAGAATGAACGGGAAGTTACACAAAAACTAAGAGATGCTAATGGAAGAACAGAAAACGAGAAAAGATTTGGGAATGCTCATGAAAGGAAAGAAAATGAAAGAAGGCATAAAGAAATGCTTGAGAGGGAAAAATATGAGAAAAGACTTGGAGAGGCTATTGAGCAAGCAGACAGTGAGAAGAGACTAAAAGAAGCTCTAGAGCGGGAAGAAAAAGAGAAGCAGCAACAAGAAGCTCGTGAAAGAGAAGAACATTTGAAGAGACAGAAAAAGGCTCTTGAGCAGAAAGAGAATGAGAAGAGATTAAAAGAGGCTTTCGAGCGGGAAGAGAATGAGAAGAGACTAAAAGAGGCTTTTGAGCAGGAAGAAAACGAGAAGAGACTCAAAGAGGCTTTTGAGCGGGAAGAAAATGAGAAGAGACTCAAAGAGGCTTTCGAGTGGGAAGAAAATGAGAAGAGACTCAGAGAGGCTCTCGAGCAGGAGGAGAATGAGAAGAGACTTAAAGAGGGTCTAGAGCGGGAAGAGAATGAGAAGAGATCAAAAAAGGCTCTTGAGCAAGAAGAGACTGAGAAGGGATTAAAAATTACTATTGAGCACGAAGAGACCAAGAAAAAGCAAAAACTGGCTTCTGAAAGAGAAGTCCATGAGAAAAGTCTAATGGGAGAGAACAAGAGCGAACTGAAAAGGGACCTTGAACTGGAAGAAAATGCGAAGAAACAAAAAGAGGCTTATGAAAGAGAAGAAAATGAGAAGATGCAGAATAAGACTCATGACAGAGAAGAGAAGAGACTTGAAGAAGCTTGGGAGCAAGAAGAAAATAAGAAAATATCACAAGTGACTCATGAAAGAGTCAAAAGTGATAAGATATTAAGAGAGGCTTTCAACCATGAAGAAATTGACAAAAGATCAGAGGAGGCAAGTGAAAGGGAAGAAACTGAGAGTAGGAGTAAAAGTGCTGGTAAGCAGGACAAATTGAAGGGAAGGAGCAAAGATCATGAGCAAATTGACAGGGACAAAGATGAGAGTAAAAAATTGCATCAAGAAACTTGTGTACACAAGGAGGGGGAGAATTTGAAGGCATCTAATGGGCCATGTAAGCTGGATAACAATAAGAAACTACAACCAACTCAAGTATGCCGTGAACATGATAAAAGCATTGGAAAACTGAAGGAGACCGAAGAGGCCCTTTCATGCGAAGGGGATAGAATCATGAGGACTGAACCTGAAGATACTGAAAAGGGACGGGAAGCAATTGGAGTGGAGAATGAGCTGGTTGAAGAAAGATTCAACTCATGTTGCATGGTTCATGATGAATTGCAATATGAAAAGAACCAACTCAGAATGGAAGATACTGAGAACTCACTTCGTGGGCAAGAAAGTGTGACAAAATCAGGTGAAGCTGACATTGGCATTGGACAAACACACATTGAAAGAAAGAAAAAAGCTTCTGAAATGGTATCTGATCCAGAGAGTCTGACTATAGCCGCACGTGAACGCGGAGAAAGAGGGACCCATATCAAGGAGGATCAAGTCATCTTTGACCAAGAAGAAAGCGAGGATAAATTGATGTCATGGCAAGTGGTCAAAGAGTGGGTTGAAATTAATGAAAGGAGAATGGGAACTGCTCAGCCAACTGTGTCGGAAGGAAAAAGAAACGCACAGAAAGTTAGCACATACCAAAAAGAAGAAAGAAAAGAGAAGAATATTAATGAGGCTCCCACACCAGAAGAGAGAGAAAAAGAAGAAAGGATGAAAAGGGAAATAGAGCTGGAACAGGATCGCCTAAAAAAGATAGAGGAAGAGAGGGAAAGAGAGAGGGAAAGAGAAAAGGACCGGATGTCTGTTGAAAGAGCAACCCATGAAGTTCGTGAAAGGGCATTTGCTGAAGAACGTGAGAGGGCAGAAAGAGCTGCTGTGGAGAGAGCAACTGCTGAAGTTCGACAAAGAACAATGGCAGAGGCCCGAGAAAGATTAGAGAAGGCATGTGCGGACGCTAAGGAGAGGTCATTAGCTGGGAAAGCATCTATGGAAGCCAGGCTTAGGGCAGAGCGCGCTGCAGTAGAGAGAGCAACTGCAGAGGCTCGAGAGCGTGCTGTTGAAAAAGCAATGTCCGAGAAGGCTGCTTTTGAGGCACGTGCACGGATAGAAAGATCAGTTTCTGATAAATTCTACGGTTCTTCCAGAGATGGTGTAATGAGACAATGCTCTTCATCCTCTGTGAGTATACTCTTCGTTGCTGTTATTTATGATGTGCTTGCCCGACAGCCTGTTAACTAAATGGTATTTGTTATGATATGCAGGACCTGCAATTTCAGAGAGGGGGGCTTTCAAATGGATCAAAATACTCATATTCTTCAGTTCATTGCGGTATGGGTGATATGTTAAATACCAGCACTAGTATCCTGTCAAATGTGGAAATCTTTTTCATGATTCCACTTCATTAACCTTTGACATTGTTCTACTTTGACTCTTGCAGGAGTTGAAGTTGAAACGGCTCAGAGGTGTAAAGCTAGGTTAGAGAGATATCAGAGAACAACTGAACGTGCTGTATGTCCTTTTTCTTAGTGCTTCCCTTTTATGAATTTGGGAATGTTTTGCTTACCTCTGACAGTATGACAACAAGCTTTTCCTGGCACCATTTCAGGCAAAAGCTCTAGCAGAGAAGAATGTGCGTGATCTTCTTGCTCAAAGAGAGCAAGCAGAGAGAAATGTAGTCCTCTCCACCGAATTTATTTTCAGAACTATTTACTAGTTTTCATTTTTATGTCTTACGTTGACGTATTCTTACAGAGATTAGCTGACGTTCTGGATGCTGAAGTCAAGAGATGGTCAAATGGGAAGGAAGGGAACCTGCGTGCATTGCTTTCAACCCTGCAATATGTACGCATAATTATCCTTAATGATTTTACGCATAAGCTTGTATTGTGGGTTTCCTTGGCGCTTCCATGACATTTTAATGCATGCTTGAACCATTCAAATGTTTTCCCAAGGACCTGAACTTCTATAAAATATGAACTACGTAAAGAATTTTTTTTTTTTCCTTCCTTTTCGTTTCGGGTTTCCTTGGCACTTCCATGACATTTTTCTGCATGTTGAACCATACGAATGTTACCTAAAGTAGTAGATAATATGAACCCACAGAAAAAAGTTTCTTTTACATGTTTTTTTTATGTCGTATAGTGTATCTTGGATAGATGAGTTCTATATTGTTTTGGTGAATGCACATGCAAAATAGCCTTTGTTGAATTGTTGGTACATGCATGTGTGTGCACTAAACAGGGTTGGTAAAGTCAAGATTTGACTGATTGATAATCCTGGTCATTCCCTGATTTTAGGGACATGTATTTGGCTTGATGTTTAGGGTACAAGCAACCTGACAAGCATCTATATTTGCAAGTCCATAAGAGTATCCACTGAGGTTGTAATAATAAAGAAGTCATAGAAAAAGTTGGCATTACTCTTTTTCATGCTATGCGGTGTTTGCATTCAACTGTTGGTTATAACGTGAGGATTTTGCTGATGATACTGAATTTTTTTTGCATCCACCCACCCAAATGCATGCACACACATTATAACAGCTTTTTTTTCAAGGAATGTGGCCTTACCAAGATCAGTTATTATGTGGCCTTATTATTCATGTTTGTTGTCCAAATCAGAGGATTGCCATAGTTCAATGTAAGGGTAGTGATCCTACTTTTCACTTGGTCCTCCCAAACAAATGACTGGTCCTTCTTTCTTCCCTAATTCTCCATTGACGCGTGCTCTAAATTTGATTTAATTCATGGCAGATTCTTGGGCCTGATAGTGGTTGGCAGCCAATCCCCTTAACTGAAGTTATTACTACCGTAGCTGTAAAGAAAGCTTACAGGAAAGCCACTCTTTGTGTTCACCCCGATAAATTACAACAACGGGGTGCAAGTATTCAGCAGAAGTACATATGTGAAAAGGTTTTTGATCTTCTGAAGGTACAACTGGCTTCCCATTTATTTTACCAATTTGAATCATGATTATATATATTATATGCTCTATGAAGTAAATTTTGAACTTTTTTTATGCTATCGAAAGCTAAGTTTGCTTTCTAGAGTTCCATAATAGCTTTGTAAATTTAGAATGCCTATGAAACAAAATCCTTGCCTTTCAATTTATAATTGTAAAATTACCTAGTCTCCAAGCTTGTGATGGTCTTGTTTCTTGTCAATTAGGCATATTTGATTAGTATCACACGTTCCTTCTATTTCTTCAAGCAAAGCTCTAATGTGATTTGACAGATGAAAACAAGGCATTCTATCTAATTCCTTGGGGAATTTGTTTTTTTGTTTTTATTTCCCCTTTTCTGTTTCCTTCACTATTTATTGCTTTCAAAAAATGAATAAGTGAAAAAAAAAAATAAAAAAAAACCGAAGAAAATTTATGGAGGCATGAAGGTTGAGCATTTTGCTTTATGACTAGTTCTATATTCTTGTGTTTACTCTTTTAATATCCTTTCTTTGTGTCTTCAGGAAGCTTGGAACAAATTTAACTCGGAAGAACGGTAGCTGATGCTTATCTACTATGTCTGCAGAAGGGCATACAAGATTTGATGTGATAGCACATCCTGTAATTTATACAGCTAGCTAGTAAATTCCTCTATATATGTCTAATATCTCTCTCTCTCTCTCTCTCTATATATATATATATATATATTCAGAATGTAAGCTTCAACAACATGGAAATTGGCAGGAAAGAATTGTTATTGAAAGAAAAGTGGGCAGCTCTTTTTTGTACTTACCACAATTTGTAGGGGAAAAAAATCAGGCCACTCATGTAGTCATGTTATATATGGGGTTGCAACTGGGGTGAGTTGAGAGGTCAACTCAGGCTCAACCCAATATGTTCAAACCCAATCCAAATGCACCTTCAATCCGAGGATCTCAACCCAAGCCCAACCCACTCCTAAATATTTTAAGTTGGGCCAAAAGAAAATAATTGGTCTCAAAATTTTGGGTTTGGTTTCCTAGGCATACAAATCCAAGGGACGCTGATATATTCTCAAGAAATTATATATAATATATTCAGAATTATAAATATATAAAAGTTGGATTAAGGTTCAAGTTAAAGTTGGGTCTTCTTGTTGACCCCTCAATCCGGAGTTCAAACCTAATTAAGTTTGGGTAAGTTTATTTTCAGTTTCAAAAATAGTTGTCAAAGTTTTTGAAAAATGGAACTCATATCTGGTTGGGTTCTGGTTGGCTTGCTTAATTTATTACTTAGTTTATACCGTATGTTATGTTAACCGTAGTTGCCCCACATTGGATCTACATGGAAAAAGTTATAGGATAAATGAGTATGTAACATTATTTAACTACGTAATATCATTATATCAATTTTTTTTTAATAAGTAAGATTAGTGTATAAAAAAAAGAGAAAAATATGTCATTCATCACCTTTTTAAAATAGAGGCTGAAAGTTCTGACTATGAGGAAAAATAAAATAATAAGTGTCACTATTCATATATCTCATCCTCACTTAAGCCATTTGGTAATTAACTAATAGAAAAATTATGCATAATAATAATATTTGTATATAAATCATGTTTGTGCATAAAATTAATATTTGTATTTAAATCATTTTGTCGTCGCTCAACTTGACATTCTTTTCTCAATTATTTGAGATTAGTTACATCAATATCCCTTTTTGTCAATGTATCTGCCCTATATAAAATTCATAATCTTATCTAAAACACATTCTAATATAAACATATAATAGGTATCTTAATTAAATATAGAAATATTTGACTCATAAAAAATTTGATATTAAGTTTCTTATCTAAATAATATTTGACTTTAATTTTTTGAATATATAAACTTATATGACAATAATTATTGATCAACTAATTTTTTTAAAAAAAAAACATTTGAATTATGTAAAATATTTTATTATGAAAATAAAAAATAATTCTAATAAACAAGTTCAACTGGGCGTGATAACTGATAATCAGTGATGTATTGTCCCATGAAAACCAATAAAAACATACACAGACACATAGAGATAGAGAGAGAGAGAGAGAGAGAGAGAGAGAGATATTAGTCATACATTGTTCCAAGTTATTGAAGATTTGAAGAAGAAGAAAAAAAGTTGCTCTTTCTATGATGGTTTTATTACGACATATTATTGTTACAACAACAAAAGCAAACACCATGCCATACACGTATTCTCATAAATATATATATAAAGCCATAATTCTCTTTCTTATGCCTCCAAAACCTTGCCATTGACATGGTCTTTTTCACCAGAATGTGGAAGCAATCCCTTCTCTCGGCATGTCTCAATCGCTCCCTTGAACATGTCCTCCAAGCTGTACTTAAACTCGAACCCCATTTCTTTCAACTTCTCCGATGAGAAGGAGACAACTTGCAAGTCCTTCTCGATGCCCTTAAACCTATCATGGTCATCATCAAAATCATTAACCAAGTGAGTTTTCACTACACAAAGAAAAAATAGAGGGTATAGTTTTTTCCAGTTTCCAATCACTTGACCATATTCAAAGTGAGGGTCGCGAATAAAAAACTCGTATATTGTGTGCATATAGATTGTATAGAGTTCTAAAAAATCTCCAACATTTAATTTTGAAGCAAATAAAGACTTGACCATTGAAAAGACTAAAATGCCCCTCCATAATTAAATAAAAAAACTAATTAAATATGAAATGTCTAAATATCCTCTTTTCGATTCATTGCACCTCAATATAGAGACACCAACTTCTGCGAACGAAAAGGGGCGCCAACCCCACAACATGCTGTTGTCAAGAGTTGGGGGATTTGTTGTTTTATGGGCTCCGTTTTATAAATTGATGCGATATTTGGTATGATTTTAAATTCTCAGATTGATGATGTGAGATGGATTCGAAATAAATTTTAGTGATACATATATATATATGTATATATATATTGAAGAGGCTTACTCAGTGGGGACATTGTACTCAGGCCATTTCTCTCGAAACATTGTAGCCAAATCATAAATGGTTCCATCATGAGAAGAGCAAATGTATCTTCCCTCTGCTTGAGGATTCTCATACAAGAATATGTGAGATTGGCACAGATCATCAAGATGCACAAATTGACCTTGCTTAATAATTGAGTAGTGAGCTTCATTCCCTGTACAATTTAATAACTATTACCAACTATATATATATATATATATATGTATGTATATGTATATATATGCAAACTAAAATGTACCTGTGATTGGTGAAAGAGCAGTGATTAGGCTTGGTGGAAATGTTGGAGTGATAAATGGGCCCACCACTAGTGTTGGGATAACACTGATGAAATCAATGTTGTTCTTTTTAGCTGCATCCCATGCTGCTTTCTCTGCCAATGTTTTTGACACAAAATACATCTGCATATATGTATAGATATAGAGATAAATCAGATTCATTATTGTTTCAATTTTATTTTTATTTTTTCATCTTCTGAAATTATTTCCCCCAAAAATCAATATTTCACGTAGAATGACTGGAACTCTCAACCTTCCTCTTCGCAAATAAAAAATCATTAGACATTTCTAATCATATAAAAGGGTTTTTCTTGTTTATTTAGAATTGTTTTGACCATCTTGCTATCTTGCTAGCACGAAAACTATGCAATTAAAAGAAAATGAATGAAGGAAGAAGGCATTAGCGTTAGATAGGATAATTTTGGGCCCGGGCTCATTGGAATCACATCCGCGGGTGAAAGATAGATAAATCAGATCTATTTTTATTTCATTTTTTTTTTTTAATCTCCTGAATTTATTTTTTTTTTTTCCTGAAAATTCAATATTACTCTTAGAAGGACTCGAACTCTCATAAGAGATCATTAGGCTTTTCCAATAAGTTAGAAAGGGTTTTTTTTGTTTATTTAGAATTGATTTGACTTCGCCCTGCGCGAAATCTACTGCAACTAAAAGAAAATAAATGAAGGAAGAAGGCATTGGCGTCGGGATAATTTCGAACACGTCTGAACTAATGCTCATTGAGACGTGCTTTACACGACCCGTGTCGTGGGGTTAATTTGACATAAATAACTTTATTTTAGAAATAGAGAGGAAATGAAAATACTAACCCAACCAGTCATCTTCTTCTTATAGATGAAATCCAAGTCACTCCAATTGGTTTCATCAAACACAGCTTGTTGGTGTTCTTGGACATTGACTGTTCCGGCTGAGGATGTGAAGACTATCCTCTTCACTGTTTTTGCTTTCACACATGATCTTATGATGCTCAACACACCGTTGATTGTCGGCTTAATTACTTCATTCTGTTGTACATAAACCAAAAAAAAATTTTAAAAAATGATTAATTATCAATATTTCACTCGACTAGTTAAAAAAAAAAAAAAAAACTATTATACAGTGACATCTGAATCTATCCTACAACAACTAGTACTTGAATAGAAACACTTGATTCGAAAACCAAGTAAGAAATCGAAGTTAATAATTTACCTAAACAAATAGAATATGAATTATTTATATGATCTAATAATAATTCGATATGATATAATATGTCATAAATGTATTATATATTTAATACTATAATATATATACTTTTATCATTATTTTTTCTTCTTCTTTCCTCTCTATTTTGTCTCCCTTTTTTTTCTTTAATAAAAAGGCTAATACCTAATTTTCTACTCCTTTTTTTTTTTTTGCTCAAATTTTATTTTTCCTCTTTGGCCTCTTTCTCTCTCTCTCATTTTTTTTTTTCTTTATCTTTTTTGACATTACACTTTTTTTTCTTAAAAAAATTACATCCTTAATTCTTATGAAAATATGGATTCATTCTCAATTCTTATGAAATTGGGGCTGAATTGAGCTTGATCCAATCCAAATCTAGTACATATATATATATATATATATATATATATATATATATATATATACATATTTAATATAGAATATATTTAGTTTCTTTCGTACATCAAATCTTATTTCATTGAGGAGAAAGGTTATGTGTCAATGAAATAAGACTAATTGTGTTGTTAACCTATTTACGTGTATGATTAGATAAATGACTAATTGTCCTATCCTTATAGCTATTAGCTAAATATATTGTCAACGGAGCGCACTGCGCACATAGCACATAGCACACGATAGTATTGTGTTTCCAGTATTTATGCAAGTGAATTCATGTATTGATATAATCATACACATAAATAGGTTAACAAATTCGTGCATATATAATTCACCATATATATATATATATATATATATGTTGTATACCTCAGGATCCTTGGATTCAAAGTCCATAGGTGTGGCCACATGAAACACCCCACAGCAACCTTCAATGGCTTCATCAAAACTTCCTTCTTCATTAAGGTCAGCTTTCCATAGTGTCAAGTTCGTATCAGCTTTTGGTAACTCCTTCAAGTGCTTCACTTTCTTTATATTCTCTGTTCCACCATATATATAAATTTCTCATTTATAAATTTGTTTACAAAAAAACTCCAGTGTGTGCGCAGTCTGAACCGTCGGAAGTAGTACAACTGTACAACACCCGCTCCTAGTTACACACAAAACCTCTATCTATGTGTGTGTATATACCTATATATTTGTGTGTGTATTTGACTAAATTAAGAACACGCAAGAGAAAGTATATAGACCAGGGTCACGAACAGTGGCACGAACAGTATAATTATTTTATAATTATATATATATATATAAATTTCTCATTTATAAATTTGTTTACAAAAAAACTCCAGTGTGTGCGCACTTTGAACCGTCGGAACTCGGAAGCATTATATTGTATAGGATCCGAGTTTGTTACGCACACAAAACCTCTATCTATATGTATATGTGTGTATATATATGAGTGTGTATATTTGACTAAATTAAGAGCACGCAAGAGAAAGTATATATACCAGGGTCACGAACAGTGGCACGAACAGTATAGCCCTGCTCGAGAAGGCGCATGATGAGCCATGACCCGATGAATCCGGCAGCTCCGGTGACGCATACGGTGGTGGCCGGTGCCTCCCCTGTCATGTTTATATATATATTTAAATATATATGATTTTAGAAATGGGAAGTGAATATATGACAATAATTACAAGGATATATAATATTATATATTAGGGAAGAAAATTATCAATGTTACAAGATTTTAATGCCTAGCTCTTAGGTAATCATATATATACTGTTAGTGTGAAAAAATATATATATATATATAGACGTGGGGTTTGTCTTGTTGTTATGCACGTGCTCAACTCACCCTTCATCTACAAAGTAGGAGTGGTAGGAGGGCTTGGTTGTTGGAACATACACATATGAATATATTTATATATATATATTGTGTTATATGTTTTTATGATATGGACATGAGATCGAGGGTTTAAGAGTTCAGTCAGTTTATTAATTGCAATGTATTTATGACTATGTGGTGAAGGCGTGCAAGTTTCAACAACCACTATTTTGGCAACCCCCATGCTCTCTGAGGATTCGAATCCAACAATAATTACAAAAACACCGCAGAAAAATAAATATATCATACAAAATTTATACAATTTACGTTCACGGTAGAAATTTGACGAAAGAGATTTGACGAAAATTTTTACTATGTGTAAAATTAGAGATTACAAATTTTAGTTCACACTCTGTCATGACCCGGATTTTTATTTAACCCGGTGGATCAGCTATAAACCGAGGAATGACCCGTGTACGGATCCAAATGCGGAAGCAAATGATAAACCAAGATCTCTAGGGGGTATTACATGTCTATAATACACCAATGTGACCCTCAATGAAGTCACATAGCCCTAAGAGAACAAATGCGAAAACGATGTTTCAAGAAGGGGCAAAACGGTCTTTTTCAAAATGGAAGTGGGTACTATCAAGCACACCATTGGAAAGACAATGAAAAATTAATAAAAATAGACTCAAGAATCACTTGATTCGGAATCCGGACGGAAAAGATATGAATTTAGTAAGAAGTGGCATCCTCCGTTTAAGAGTTTCCAAGATCCTATCTCACTAAAATTACAATAACTTTCACTACAGTTGGAGTTTTGGTGCATGGTTGATTCCATTGGAAAGCTGACTTCAAGTTATGAATTTAGTCTCAAGAATCACCCTATTTGGGTTAGAAATGAAGAAGTTATGGCCCTTTGAAGTTGGAAGAGCAGTGCTGAAACTGAACTGAAGCTACTCTCAGGATCTACCTATTTTGGTCGAACAAAATGAAGTTTCGGACGACCGAAATGAATATGCTGAGAGCTAAAATCATGAAGAAGAGTGCTTGTTGCTTCGGTAGACCGAAATGATGCATCGGTCGACCGAAATAGGCCATCGGTCGACCGAAATGGCCTTGAACAGTGTAAAAGGTTACTGGAAATGGTGTTTTACTGTGCAAAGAGGTTCCCAACAATCATTGGTCGACCGAAATGATGTTTCGGTCGACCGAAATGATGTTTTGGTGGACCGAAACACCTTGAAAAGTTGCTATATTGCTAGGAAAATGATCCTTAGTCCAATTCTAATGTTGCGTATGCATCATATACAATCCAAACATACTTAGAAACATTCTCTAGCTTGTAAAGAGCATTTCTAACATGCTAAAACAAAGGGGAACGTAGAACATGAACTAATGCATGAATTTTTGTATAAAACTTTATAATCCATCCATAATTAGTTCAAAAGCCAAAACTTATGAGTTTTGTGAGATGTGAGCATGCACGCAAACGTAAAAAGATGATATGGACGCGCTACAATGGTCTACAGCCTCAATGGACATTATATGCAAAATTTGACCCTTTAGTGGATGAATTTTCATATAATTCATAAACAAACTATAAAAGTGAAGTAACATACACAGCTTAAAGTATCTTCGGCCCTTGGCCTCATTACAAACACATATAAGGAGTAACAAAAAGTGCACTTAAGTGCACATTACATAGTTTAGACAACTAGTACAAGTTTTCACATATTACACCAAAAAGATCATGATATGCTAACAAGTGCATATCAATGTCACCAAAAAAATACTTCAAGACTTCTAGCATGTCTAAGAGTGTTGTGTATCCCACAACAAAGCTTTTTTACCTGCAAAACACCCAGTAACTTCGGAGTGAATAAACAAGTCTAACAAGTTTATTCGTAGGGAATGAGCATGCATATGCTTAATTCATTTACAAGGTTTACAAATCAATATTGTGTAATCCATGCTATTAAAATGACATGAGAACTTTCAGCATAGCACAATAAGATGCAATTTCATAAAGTTATCAACTTGGAAATTAAAATACGAAATCAAGTCAAGTGGATACTTGGATATTGCCCGGATTAAAATCGAACTTTTGAGATCACTTTAGGGCTATTAACCCCTGGGTACCTTTCCCCTAGTGCGCACTATAATGTAGGAGGACAATCCCCCGTACTAGAACCAAGTCCTAGCCTAGTCAAGTTCTTGATAATATCCCAAGTTTCCAAAATCAGCAAGTTTGAGCAACAAGTCATGATATGTATTACAACATAAAAACTCTATGAATTTAATGACTAATCATTAGAACAATTAAATAGAAATTAATTAAGCTAATTAGTTAACTTCCTCTAGATTTCAAGAATTATTCAAATAATCCCAAATGAATATATATCATAGACTAAGTCATGACCATGCCATATATCAAGTCAAAAATGAATTACTAGCATGGTAGAATTAAATAGAATTTAAAATCAACTTAAATTACTCATGTCTCTAGATTTAGAAACTCATTTAAATCATGTCAAATTAATACACAATAAGATTCAAGTCATAGCCATGCCATATATCAAGTCCAAAACAATTTATATGCAAGCTACCATTAGTCATTTATTACTTAAATTAACATAGGACATACATACAATTTGTATATCATTACAAGAATAATATATTCACTTAGGAAAATCAAGTAGAACACTCCTTACCTAGAGAATTGAATCTCTATGATCCAATGTACCCAAGTTCAAAAATGAAAAATTAAACAAGCGTCTTATAGAGGAGAGTGAGAGGAAGATAAAGTATTCCAAATTCTAGGTTCTAAGGTGAGTGGAAGGGTATGAAAATGAAGCTCAAAGGTTTAATTCAAGCTTAGCTCCAATGGAGATTTCTTAGAGTTCTTGAGAGGAAGATGGTGAATGTATTAAAATGAAATAGAATTCCTAAGTTAAAGGTGGTGAAATTCTCCACTCACTAGGTGCTTTTGCACTACCTCTCACACACACACTTACAAGACTAAAGGTGAGTCCTACACTTGTTCTAAATCTAAGTGAGCTTCCAAGATCAAATATTGAGCCTATATTTATCAACCATCCATGCTAACATGTGCTCCAATCCTAGGCCAACAAATGGTTGAATCTCCACCCTCCATGTGTCAAAGGATTAAGCCTACAAGTGGCTTCACTACAAAATCAACAAATGGCACCTTACGAAAGTGACACTTGTCACTTTTTTCAAAAATTACAAAAAGGTCCTTTTTGAAAATATCTTCTAAATTAAATTACAAAATGGTCCCTAAGACGAAAAATAATTACTTTATTTAATTACACAAAACCCCTCAAGTTATGATTAATTACCAAAAGTTATGCATTCATACCCTTTACAAGGGAAGTAGACATTTAACATGCTTTTCTACAAAAGTGTAAATGTAGATGTCTTAGAAATCAAATATCATGAATGTATGCAAAACCAAAATTAAATCCAAGTACAAAAAGTGAGATTTTGTAAGGAAAAATGAAAAACGACTAAAGGACGAAATAGAGAAAAGACGAAAAAATGAAATTACCTAAAAAAAAAAAAAAAAGGAGGAAATTTTTCGGGTCATGACACACTCTCTCTTTGTACGATTTTTAATGTCTCTTGACGATCACACTCCAAACCTTAAGTACCTTTATATATCGAGTTACTAGAAAGTACTAATTGGAATCTACAACCCATGAACAAAGACGGATCAAAAATTTTCCTCCAGCCCAAGCCTTCGAATCTCCATAACTTTGGTAAGTTTGGGCCCGCACAAAACTCATCCAACGAGTCACAACGCGACCCCATATCAAATTTGAATGACAAAATCACAAATCATTTATAAATTTTCAAACAATTTAGAATGATTTTGAACTCAACATCGTATATAAGATGCTTTAGACATGGTCGAGATCACTAACAGTTGAAACATAGTGAATAAGGATCGGATCTGCAGCCAAAGTTCTCTATTGACTTCCGCAAAACTCGGTCATGTTGTCCAACTGTGACTGGATGATGAAGTGGTTGAAGACGATCCAAATCCATAATGTAATGATGGGTGGGACAATCTGCAACAAGTTTCAATAGTTCAGAGCTAGTTGCAACTTTTAAAGTTTAAAGGGGTTCCTTGGGGATTTATTAATAGTTCAAAAGTGTAAAATATAATTTGTATAGAATAATAATGAGCAACCCCAAACTCTTTTAAGACAATGAAAAAATATATATATCCTCGAGAATTCAAACAAATACTTGCAATAAAAGTGTTGAAAAGATTAGGTTTTCAAAACCACTATTTCGAAATTTAACATCATTACTTTTAAAATTTTAAGTAATAGTATAGAAACTAAAAATAATAGTTCTGAAATGAAATTTTAACATAACTAAACTGTGTTTCAACAACCCATTGCTTCAAGGTAAGAGTACTTCAATTTTATTTTGAAATAATGTATTGAAATTAGATTTATTGTCTTGAAAATCTATGTGACAATTTACTTACCGGAAAAATAAAAACAAAAATCTCTAGCAACCACACGAGCCATGAAGTCGATAATTATATTTTCTTGTGCATCAGGTCCATTGCACTATATACAAGCTTAAATATTTTGCTAAAAAATAATTTTTAAAGTCAAAGATCAATGCCAATTGTATGTATATTTTTATCATTTGGAACGCGGGTGGACCTACTTGGGTCCCACACATGTGGCAAAAAATTCTACGATTTTAATATTTGATTGATTTTAAATAGCAAAGTCAATTTATGTGGAACCTACTAATTGATAGAGCTACAAAGCCAGCCAAGGCCAAACATTCTAATCAATGCCGGTGGATTTACTCTAAGTGGAAATTAAACCTACTCTAAGTAGACTTAAACTTTACTTAGAGTAAATCTAGAGTAAATTCACTTAGAGTAGGTTTAATTTCCACTTAGAGTAAATTCACCGGCATTGATTAGAATGTTTGGCCTTGGCTGGCTTTGTACCTCCATCAATTAGTAGGTTCCACATAAATTGACTTTGCTATTTAAAATCAATCAAACATTAAAATCGTAGAATTTTTTGCCACATGTGTGGGACCCAAGTAGGTCTACGCGCGTACCAAATGATAAAAATATACATACAATTGGCATTGATCTTTGACTTTAATTAAAAATTATTTTTTGACAAAATATTTAAGCTCGCGTGTGTATATATATTTCGAAAGTTGAAATTAAATCATGTTTCAATACATTGCTTGAAAAACATCATGCTACCCCCACCAATATGTTTGTATGTGATAACCTTTTTTTTTTTTTTTTCTCAAGGCAAAAATGTTAAATGAGAAATTAGAGGTATAAAAGTTCGAAATTGAATTACCAAAAACAACGAGAAGCAACCCAACCATTGGTGTATGTGATTAAAAAAGTTATTCAGGGTGGCTACTAGTTAAGTTTACTCGTCAAAGTGAAATAATTAAGGTCACATTTATAGACTAGATAGGGTTTTCCTGCTTTGGTGTGATATCAAATCCATCATTTGTTATGAAGCATAATACGAATACAAGATACGAGTACAACATGATGCGAATAATACATCAAATCTCAAAAAAATAAGACACGGATATGATATGGATACATCAATATATATATAGATATATAAATAATATATTTGTTGTCCTTTTATCCATATAATCATAAATAAATTACTAAGTATGAATTTAGAGCTAGATATTTGTTATTTTTGTTTTCTTAAATTTTATATTATGTTTTTAATTAATTCATAATATATTTTAGATTGCATTGAATTTTTTTTAAAAAAACATTACAAAATTATCGTGTTGCATCCTTAAAGTGTTCAAAATATATCATTGCCATGTCACAACTGTATCAGACTAAAAAATAAAATATTTATTATTCATAATACTTCTAGTCGTATTTAACGTGTGTCATTCATGTGTTCTGTTTGATACCTCCGCGACAACTTTAAAAAAATATTTGAAAAATATTTGTGCTTCCAAAATCATTTGTTTCTAGAAGTATTTTAGAAGTGTGAGACTCTTTTCCTGTTGTACATCCAATGCATTAGATAGAGAAAACAACACTACATTATAATACTAGATCGAGAATGCAATAAAAATGCGAAAGTAACTTTTTTCAGTATTTTCACACACACACAACATATCATTAGTTGTTTAATAAAACACAAATTTTCATTTTCACTGTGTGCCCTTTTCTTTGGACAAAACCACCTCCACATCTATTTATTTGGACTCATAATGCTTTATAAATTAAGGACTGTCCTTTTAAATCCAAGACATCCCTGTCCCTTATAATGTCCGTATTTAGGCGTTTTGTTCGTTACTTACCCGGTAATAGGCCCTACAACTGTTTTTCAAATGGCATCAACATTCACACACACCACGTGTTCGACGAAACGTCCAAGAGAGACCTCTATTCGCTCAATTCACTTATCGCCTCGCACGTTCGCAGTAGAGATGCTCTTGCGGCATGGACTCTCTTCCACCACATCCACAGCACGCATTCCGACCTTAATGCCTACACATTTACGCCAGTGTTGGGTGCGTGTTCAGCTCTGTCAGACCCCAAAAGGGGCCAACAAGTCCATGCTTTGATGATCAAAACGGGTTCCGAATCAGAAACCATCACCAAAACTGCTCTCATTGACATGTACTCCAAGTACGGCCAATTGGGTGACTCGGTTTGTGCATTTGACGAGATGGGTTTCAAGGACGTGGTCACTTGGAATACTATGCTTTCGAGCTTTCTACGCCACGGTCTTCCCATGAAAGCACTCAGTGTGTTTGAAATGATGAGTAAAGAAAGAGTGGAAATTAGTGAGTTCACTTTGTGTTCTGTGCTAAAAGCTTGTACCTTTTTGAATGCCTTTCGACAGGGTAAGCAAGTTCATGGATTGGTGATTGTGATGGGCCGCGATTTGGTGGTGTTGAGTACTGCTCTGATTGATTTTTACTCAAGTGTTGGGTACATAGATGAAGCAATAAAAGTTTATGGCAAGTTAAGCCTCCGAAAAGACGATGTGATGCGCAATTCTCTTATTTCTGGTTGTGTTCGCAACCAGAAGTATGATGTGGCCGTGTCAATCATGAGTTCCATGAAACCCAATATAATTGCACTTACAAGCGCTCTTGCTGCTTGCTCTGAGAATTCAGATTTGTGGACTGCAAAGCAGATACACGGTGTAGTGATCCGTCAGGGTTTCACTTTTGAAACCCAATTGTGCAATGTGCTATTAGACATGTACACAAAATGTGGGAAAATTTTGAATGCCCGTTTGGTTTTTGATGGAATTCTTCAAAAAGATGTGGTTTCTTGGACTAGCATGATAGATGCATATGGAAGTCATGGTCACGGACTTGAAGCTCTTGAGCTGTTCAATAAGATGGGGGAGGAGGAAAATCGTGTATTGCCAAATTCCGTGACATTTCTTGCTATTTTATCCGCTTGTGGGCATTCGGGACTGCTGGAACAAGGCCGGGCATGTTTCATTTTAGTCCAGGAGAAGTATGGTATGGACCCAGGTCCAGAGCATTATGCCTGTTTCATAGATATATTAGGCCGGGCAGGTCGGATAGAAGAAGTGTGGGGTATGTTCGATCATATGGTTAAAAATGGTACGAAGCCTACTCATGCAGTATGGGCAGCATTGCTGAGTGCTTGTAGAATTAACCATGATATCACTAGGGGTGTGTTTGCAGCAAAACATCTCCTTGATTCGGAGCCTGATAATCCCGGGAATTATGTAGCACTTTCAAATTTCTATGCAACCATTGAAAGGTGGGATTTGGTTGATGACTTGAGAAGCATTATGAAGACAAGAGGCCTTGTAAAGGAAGCTGGAAGTAGCTGGGTTGCTGTCGCATGCAGCCATCAAAATGTGATCAATCTAGAGAAGTAATATACTTCCCGGTTGTGCATAGTTGGTCTTTGTGGTTCTTGGATTCATTTGCTTTATATTTTTTAGGATAAAGACAACTTGGCTTGCTGTTGAATGTTGAAGTATTCATTTATTGGTCGGACAAGCACCAAAAAATGTTTGGTTACCATTGTTTCTGTCCTCATCTTCAAATACACTAACTTGTTTAAGTTGCCTTTTCCCATGCTCCACTCACCACCCAGTGCTTTTTTTCAAGTATGACATCATTGCCAAGGCTGTTAATTTTTTTCCTGTATTCCTCATTTATGAGATGTTTGAATATGTACACTGAAGAAAGTGTCATAGGATAAAGGCTGGCAACAATTGGTAGTACTAATGCAAGTGAGACTTGGTTGTTATTGAAGAGAATTGAAACTTTTTTAATTTTTTTTTATTCAACTATTTATCCTTTTTATTATTATTATTATTATTATCATTTAGAATTGCATGTAGGATGAGGGCAGGCTTTAGCGCAACAGTAAGGTTGTTCTTTCATGTGAAGGTAAGGTTACGTATATCTGACCCTCCTCAGATCTCGTAATGATAGGAGCCTCTGACTAGCCTTTTATATATATATATATATATATTGGCATGTAGGATCTGTATTGATCAATCACTACAGGCTATTGAGCTGGGGTATAATTGTCACTTTTGAATCAACTATTTGTGGGCAAGATGCAGTGTGATGTCCTTGCTAGCTAGTCACCTTCCATGCACGTGATGGGCATCTGTGAACTACCAAATGGTGGTTGACTGCACGTGAATAGCAACACCATTCAGTCGCTGGAAGGATTGTAAGTTGGTTTTAAGAGCCTAGATGAAGTGTCTTATGCCCCAAAAACAAACAAAAAAGGGTGCAATACTGGTCAATGCCACAAAAGTTCTAATGTAGTTGGATTTTATATGGAATTTTAGTACAGTCCTTGTCACCTTGATTGAAATGCATTGAAAGGAGTCTGCCATGCCATAGTCATGATGATATATATATATATATATGCATGTTTGGCACACATCCAAGTCCATAGAGCCAGGCAGAAGAGGCGTCTAATACGGACATTATTAGGTAATTAGTACCTATTTGTCCTCATTCTTATCCAAAATTTTCAAGCCATTAAAGATAATGGCTATTATCCAAATTTAACTTATAAATAAAAGCACCTTATTATGTAATTTTTCTTGTCTGTCATATCATATAGAGTGTAGTTGAACCTATACGGCGGCTTGCGCTTGCAGTTCACGCTCTACGTGGGCTCCACAAGGTTTTCATGGTGGCCTGATAGTCGTTGGATAAAGACGTTGGACATCACAGTCTGTCAAATCAACAATTTGTAATCCCGACATAGTTGACTATGGGGACTTGGTGGCTTGAGCATGCAGCTCACGCGCCATAGGCTCCATAGCATTTTTTTGGTGAACTAATAGCCGTTGGATAAAGAGACTGTCGTCACAGCCTCTCAAATCGACAGCTTTTGTTGCTTGACTTTGTGAGAGCACCTTCATAGTAGACTTGTTTTAAAAACAAAAAAACATGGTAGTCGACATTCGTTGAATCTGCGAGATGATGGGGCCTAGGTGATGCACTCACAGCTGTTTTGCACCCAAAAAAATAAAATAAAATAAAATAAAATAAAGAGAAGTGTAAGAGCGCAGTTTTTTTCAAACCATAGAGGGTGACAATTCACAAATAGAGAAATGATAATGATGACCGCTTCCTTTTGCGGTGGGTTTTTTTCATTGGTTACTTAAAATATCATTAATTATTTTTTCTCTATTTTTAAAAGCAAGTAAGAAATATAATCTATTTTAAAATAAAACTCAAATTTTAAAAATAAAACTACCCTTTAAATCATTTTTTATTACCTTTCTTATATTTCCTCCCTCAATCCATATACGTGTAATATATATATTTTTATTGCCTTTATTTCTTTTCTTTTTATTTCAATTGTCGCCACTAGTTATTTTTTTTCTTCCTTTTTTTCTTTATTTCCCTTTTTTTTTTTCTTCTCTAAATTGTTGTTGCCATTAGCCTTTTTCCATCCTTTCATTTTTTTTTAAACCAGAACAAATAAGAACAGTGAAATTTCACCAAATTTAGAAAAAAAAATTTCAAACCAAATTGTTATTAAATTTTAAATCAGAACAAATAAGAGTAGGGGAATTTTCATCAAATTTAGAAAAAATTTATTAAACCAAATATAAGAAAAAAAAAAAAAAATGAAAGGAAGGACGGAAAAAAACAGGCTAATAGCAACAATTTAGAAAAAAAAAAAAAAAAAAAAAGGAAAAAAATAACTAATGGCAACAATTGAAATAAAAAGGAAATAAATAAAGACAATAAAATATATATATATATACTATATGTATATGGATTGAGGGAAGAGATACAAGAAAGGTAATAAAAAATGATTTAAAAGGTAATTTTGTCTTTAAAATGTGAATTTTATTTTAAATTAAGTTATATTTTTCACATTCATTGAGAATAAAGAAAGAGTAATTAATGAGATTTAAAATAACCAGTGAAAAGAACGACTATGAAAAAATAATCGCTTAAGCAACTGTCCTTAGCATTTCTTCTTCACAAATAAACAATCGTCCTTGGCATTCCTCTTCACAAACATACCACTATCCAACCTAACATGAGTCTTGGTCACCATTAAAATATGTCAATCATATGCAAATAGTTCGATTTGCGTTATTGTTTGTATATGTATATCTTTACATATATATATATATATATATATATATATATTAATATTATCTGTAGCCTTCAGATACCCTCTTTCATCAAATTATAGACAGGGCAAGTTAAGGCCATTTTGTTAGGTATTATCCTCTTCTAAGCCATGTTTAGAGCGTTAAGTACTCAAAAGAGTCGTGGTGGTGGTGAATATGAACAGTTAGCTGATGAGCCGTTGATCGGAGTTTTGCAGGCGAAGCTGAGGAGGTCCGCAACCTTGCCAGCTAAACTGTTCGGTTCATCATCGAAAAGGTTAGCTGCAGAATCAAATGCTCCGGTGAAGCAGGCGAAAAAGGCTAGCAAGATTCACCCTTTCTTCAGCCTTTTCGAAACAAGGCGAAAAAAGAAAGCAACAGCAAAGCCAGAGTTTGCAAGATATCTGCAGTATGTGAAGGAGGGAGGTGTTTGGGATGTGAATTCAAATGTGCCTGTAATCTATTATAAATGAAGCTCTGTTATGCTACATATATATATATATATATATATATAGTTCTTGTCTTTTGGTAAGAATTCAATGTACTCTTGGGTGCTCTTGACAACTTGGATTTGTGGTTATGCTTAATGTTTGGATAAACCAATTTGTTAATTAAGCAGAAAACATATAACGTTCCATTTTAGAGCACTGAATCGGCAATTTAGAATTTGTGAATCGGAAAAAAATTGAACTAAATTTTCTTTGATTCAAATTTCAAGATGTGCAAACCTATGTCGATCATGTTAATTTTTTGGTTTCATTTTTAATTTGTTTTTGTTTTTTAATTTTAGAGAAATAAAAGGGGAGAGAGAGAGAGAGAGAGAGAGAGGAATACAAACAGGAAGCATTAGCTTATGAGATCGGAAAGGGTAACCTGGAGGAGAAGCAGACCAAAATATTTTGTAAGATTTGTTGAGGTCCAATGGGCTTTCTACGAGGCTAAAGTTATACAGGCCCAATGGATTTTTATATTTTAACTAAAGCCCTTTAATTCAAGACCAAGATCAAAAAAATATATTCTAGATCAAGAGATGCCATTATAGATGGAACTTTTATTTTAATTTTTTTTATAATATTTATTTATTTATTTTTGTGGACATGGTGTGTCACACCTCCCCCAACATCCCAAAATCTAACATGGAGCGCATACAATATTAATACTAATATAACAAATGAGAAATGTGTTTAACCAATAGTTGCATTCCTTCTAAGGATCAGTAGTTATATTTTATCTAATCTTAAAGTAAATATGGGAAGCTCAAATTTGATGTGTGAATTATTTTTCAAGAAAAAAAAAAAGTTTTTAAAAAAGTCACATTCTCGATGAAAAATATGGATTTGCACTTGCAATCAATTTTTAAGTAATTATGAAATTATTATTATTATTATTATTTTTTTGCAAGAAACACATTTTTACATCCATGGAGGGTTGGCATGAGCTATTTGTCTCTACATGTGCTTGAACTCAACCTTCTCGTTCGGAATGAGAGAAAGTATTATTAAACTATACCGTCTTTGGTTAGTATTAATCCAAAACTCGGCACATGCAATTTTGTATTTGTCATTTTTGACCAATAATAAATTATTCATTTTCTTCCTACTCCCATAATTTTTCTTTTCTTTTCTTTTTTTTGGGCGAGAAACAAACTCATATATCCAGTTTGTTCCCGGGGACTAAACCCTTAAAATACTAGGGTACAATGCCTTTAATATACTCCAATAAATATCTTATCAAATAAATCAAAATATTCTTCAATACATTTTTAAAGTTTAAAATACTCCACAATGCAATTTTACCATATTTATTTTAAAAATTAGTAACTTTTTAAATGGCGGGGACTTATTAAGTATATGGATATCCCTTAGTATCAAACCCAATCAAAACACCTCCTTTCGAATTATTATGAGAAATATGATGTAATCAAAACATCTCATTTCATATTTTTAAGAGAAATGAGCTGGTTTGTTTGGTTGAAATTGCAATACAAAATACCGAAGAATATATATATATATATATATATATATATCTCTCTTTGTGTGTATGTGTCTCCAAGAGGATTTGGATTACTTGTCAAACATGATGAAAATACTACCTTTTTATTTATTTATTTATATTTTTTTTTTGACAATGTTTAACTACTCACGGGTGAGTAGTTTCATCCTACTAACCTGTTATGTGTCCAAATAAAAAAATAACATATCAACTTTAATAACAAAATAATTCAACTTTAATAACAAAATAATAAAAAGTGAAAAGAAAACCAGATCAACCCGTTTTAATTACGTTATCGTCTTTTCTCTTTTCTTTCTATTTTTCATGACTTCTCAAACCCACGCTCTCCTCTCTCCACTATTCTTCTTTTTCTCACCTCCATGGGACATCATCAATCAATGAGCAAGTATGTTTGATTTGTGTTTGGGTTATTTTTCTTTTTTATTTCGTGTTTCATTGAACATCATCACTCAAGAGGAAAGCAAGAATTGTAAATTCAACTAGGTCTTGTAGTGAAAGTATGATTTAATTTTTTGCTTTGCACATTTAAAGTTTAATTTTTAGAATAGGGTTTTCAATCATCATTCAATAAGCTAGTATTTTCAATTTTTTTTTTCTTAATTTATGTTCTTGATGGCCTAGGTTGAGTTTTATTACGCATAAAAGAGGGAAGATTATGTGTAATATCAAATGGTCCAAATATATCAATTAATAGGCAAGCAAGAGCTATAGGTGCAACTGGGACTAATTTTTCGGGCGACGTTATCAGAAGTTAAACTATTGATTCCACTTGACCATTAGCTCTGATTTATGGTTGATATATGCTTTCGAGTGCAAGTTTTTTTATAGATAAAATAGATCTTTGAATAAAATGTGTAGAGCCTTTCAATTAAAATGGGTTAATCAAGCTTATTTATTTATTTACTATTATGCTTATTTTGTTATTAAATTTGAAGTGTTATTTTTTTTATTAGGACACATAATAAGTCAGGTGGGTGAAGCTATTCACGGTGACTACCTTATACATTGTATTATCAAAAGAATTTTATTTGTTTTCGTAATTTATTGTGAAAGAAGATAAAACTATCATTTTATCTTTATCCGTCCAAATATCTAAATATCTAAATATCTACCCAAAGCCTACAAAGTTCTAAAAATAGAGAAAAAAGCAGTATTATATTTCGAAATATTTGCGGGTGGAGCTTGACGAACATAACCATAACCATAACCATAACCATAACATAACCAGAGAGGAGAGAGAAAGCTAGAGAGAGAAAAGGACAGCGAGGTCCGTTAGAATAAAGAGCTTCCTCTCCTTTTCCAAGGGTTAGGGAGCAGAAGTCGTCAATCAAATATGTGTTGATTCATCATTTTCATATTCATACTCACTTCATTCATTCATTCACCCACCGATTCATGCCTCATCCCTAATTCCACCCAACCAACCATACCTAGGGTTTCCTCTACCATCTTACTTCCATTTCCCAAGGTAAAACTCTCTCTCTCTATGTGTGTGTGTATATATATATATTGCATATGTATGTTTTTGTTATCTATGCGTATCATAGACTTCAGGCGGTTTTATGTAGAATTTTATTGTGCTAATTTTATTATATATGTATATATATTTGTATTGTGTTCAGATTGATGTTTTTGAGGTTTGAATTTGAATAATTTCGAATTAGGGTTCCGATACCTTCAGTTTGACGCTCTCTCTTTATTTGGTTCCGTGCTTTAATATGTACGTACATACTGTTTGGTTGATGAGAAAACTGACAGAAAGAAAAGGCATCGGAAATTTCCCCCCTCTGTGCATTTAAGTGGGAGAGTTTTGTTTCTCAGCTCAAAATAGTGAAAATTTAACTATTGCTGCAGCTGTTATGCATAGCACCTTTCTGTGTTCTTTGTTTTTATTTATGTTCCGAGGTTTAATTTGTACGTACCGTTTGGTTGATAAGAAAACTGTGGGAAAGAAGAGGAATCGGAAATTTCTTGTCTCTGTCCATTTAAGTGCCAGAGCTTTGATTCTCAGATCAAAATAGTGTAAATTTAACTAATTGATAAATTTGCATTTTTTTATTACTTTGCAGCTGTTATGCATAGCATTTTTCTGTGTTCTTTTGTGGTGATTATGATGAAAAATATTTAAATAAGTTAAATTGTATGATGCAGAGTCATGCCAACCTATACCGCGATAGCTTTGGATAGGTTAATAGAACCAGGGGCTTCGAAATCCATGGAAGCAGCAAAGAATGCTCCTGGTACGAAAATGGAGAAGAGAAGCAATACTTCTAATTCGAAGCTGGAGAGGGGAATGAGTATTCCTGTCTTGAAGCCAGTGAGGGGAATGAGTGTTCCGAACTCGAAGCTGGAGAGAAGAAATACTACATCAATCACTACAGCTTTAGATAAGAAACACCATTGGGCTCAGATATCACCGGCACTCTATGCCACTCCTGAGCCAACCCCACTGCCAGACTCTCCATCTTCATTCCCTCCATCACCTTACATCATCAATCACAAGCGGCGTGGGCCACGCCTCCTCAAGAGCTCCTCTGTGGACGATGTTGCTACTCGCCAAGAAGCTCTGGATGGAAAGGATATAACTGAGAATTCAAAAAATGCAGAGAAGCAGGTTGCTGATTCGACCAAGGATGTTACTTTTAAGGTCACCGTTCCTAGTACTATTGATGAGGAGCATGTTAATGATGTTTATGATGGGGAGCATGGAAGCAACGATTTCTCTAATGGTCTGCCCGAGAAAAGGGGCCCTGTGAAGACTGTAGCATTCAATTTGGAACGAGAAGGTGAGGTTGAGGATTTCCTTGATCCTCAGGAATCAATGAGTGTTAAGAGCACTGAAGCAGAGAGTAGTAGTGGGGTGGAACGGTCCTTGAATCTCGCTACTCCAATGGCAGAGTTTTATGATGCTTGGGAAGGTACCTGGGCTTTGCTTCTGGAATTTATATGTTTTATCTCTTTATTTTCTAAAGATATTGGTAGAGAGTATTTGGATACATGACAACATGCTTAGTTGTTTTTCTTCGTCTGTGAGTATCTTGACATATGTTTGTGTGCTATCTTCATGCTTTCTTTCTTGCATATAAAATAGAAGTGTAGAATGTTAATTGAAGAGAAATACTCGTCAAGGATTTGCATGGGGTCACATTATGTTTTACCATATTGTAAGTGTTTATAGATGTTATGAACTCCCCATCCCACTCTCCTTTCAAACATTATTGTTCCAAACTTTATAATAGTTGTTACCGTCAATGATTTTATTAGAGTTATACACTATAGTAACATAGCAATCTTTTTACCGAGAAAAAAAAAAAAAAAAAAGCAATCTTATTTTTGTTACCAATTTGCAATATTGGAAGGCTTACTTGCCTTTTTTACTTACTGAAGAATTATCCTCTGAGAGTGCACCGCAGCTTTCTCTGCGTGATGTTGAAGCTGAATTGCGTGATATAAGATTGAGTTTATTGATGGAGATTGAGAAGCGGAAGCAAGCAGAAGAAGACCTGAGTAATACGCAAAGCCAGTGGCTGAGGATTCGGGATCAGTTATCTCTTGTGGGCATTACACTTCCTGCGGATTTAACAGAGCATGACCAACAGGAAGTTGATCCTGCAGAAGAGGTCAGCCGCCAAGTCTATTTTGCTCGGTTTGTGTCAAATTCCATTGGTAGGGGAACTGCAAAGGCTGAGGTTGAGATGGAGATGGATGCTCAGATAGAATTAAAGAACTTTGAGATTGCTCGGCTATGTGACAGATTGCATTATTATGAGGCCGTGAATAGAGAGATGTCTCAGAGGAACCAGGAAGCAGTAGGTGAGATTACCTCATAGTTTTTATAATTTCTATTTCTCACCTCAAACATAGTTGTTCTCTTTTTTCTTGATATTCTTGGATGGGTTTTATTTATTTCTGCTTCATATAGTATCCTGTATGATCATACGTTTTTTTTGTTCAACCTGATATCCTGCTTGTAAAATCAGAACGCACTGGTGACGCTGGTGCACATACAACTTACACAAATAGATCATGGATAAATAAAAACATGCGTGGCAGTGAAGTTTCCATTAAAACATCATCAACTTTTTTTTAATGTATATAAATATATTTTCCTGTCTACTGATTAGACGATTTTTGAGTCTACTCATTTTGTGACCTGCCTATGGATCACTGTGGACACTTCAATGAATGGGCCTGTTCTTGAACAATCTGGGAAAAGTTCCACTACTTTGATGGAACCATGGGTCTTAATTTAAGATTCAGTATGGTGGAGGAATAGTAAATTGAATTAGCCTTTTCAGCCCTTTGTTGATTTTTTGAACGTTTGAACCATAAGTATCCTAGGTTGGGCATATTAGACCTTTTGCTTCCTCATATACAATGGTGCATTGGCAGGTCTGCGTTGTATATGTGCAAGCATTCGCATCAAGTTTTTAATGTTTCATGCCTTGGGCATATCAGCATATTGTTAGACAACCACTAACCATACTGATTTATATAAATGTATATATAAATACATTTGAAAGAAGAATAGGGGCCATTGTTTGGTGCACTACTAAAATGATCAGGTTTTCAAGGGTGAGAATGCATGTTCAAATCGTAAGAGCAGTCACTTTGTGCAAATATGCCGAAGATTATTCTGTATCCAGTCCACCCTCCCCTCCTCTATTAACTGGACCATACTGTGTAATGACCTTTGACATTTTTAAAAGAATATATAAGTTCATAAATGAAAAGAGAAGTGAGAAACAAAGTCACCGGATAAGAGATGTCACAAATTGAATACCATTTACTTATAAGAATCTGATCGGATAACCTATTCAGGTTTATGCCAAGTAGGTCCACTATGAAAGCCATATACTTAATACGACAACTAATAGGACAATATAGGAGTAAACAAAACTTGCATATGATTTTCATAGATTTAGAGAAGGCGTATGATAGAGTGCCAAGGGACATAATTTAGTGGGCCTTACAAAGAAAACAAGTACCTATAAAACTTATAAATCTTATTCAAGGTATGTATAGTGAGACATTGACTGGAGTTAACACTACATGCGGAGAAACTAGTTACTTCCTTATAAAACTACATGTTGGGAAATTAGTGACTTCCTTGTAAAAATGGGATTACACCAAGGATCGGTGTTGAATCCATACCTATTTGTGATGGTATTAGACAAAATAACAAAAGATATACAAGAAAAAATCTCACGGTGTATGTTATTTGCGGATAGCATATTATTAATAGATACTTTAAGGAAACTTTAGCAAAATTAGAACTATGGAGAAATGCATTAGAATCAAGAGGCTTGAAAATTAAGGAAAGTAGACTTGGGTGGTATGGATATATTCAGCGTAGACCCAATGATGCACCTGTTAAAAGAGGAAGAGTTGTTTGCCTAGAAGGTAAGCCACAAAGAGGCTGACCAAAGCTCACATGAGATGAAGTAATTAAAAATGATTTGAAAAAATTAAATCTAAGAGAAAACGTGACGTATATAGAAAGAGGAGGGGGGGAAGGGAAATCGTGTGTCCCACCCCATCCATATTGGACAAGGCAAGGATAACGATGATGAATCCGATCATATTTTTTCTGAAGTAAGAAATTGTGCTTATATTTTATTATCACAATAGTGCTTATGGTTAAAAAGTGTGATTATTACTTAGTTCATCATAATCTTCAGATGAAATACCATTACAAATTTGGGGTCCATAAATATTATTTATTTATTATTATTATTATTATTATTTTTTTTGGGGGGGGGGGGGGGGTTGTGTGGATATATCCATGATCTATGCTGCCAACGTACTATGAAATTTTGATATTGTAAGACTGCGTTCTTAATAGTCATGATCAACTTGCTACTTGTAACCCCCTATTAACTTTTCATAGGGGTTACATTTTGGCAAGCTGAAATTTCCATTAGATGCTCTATTTTCCTCGCCATGCATATTAAATATCAAGCCTGTTGCATATTGGTATGTGTCTGCAGAAAGCTCACATTTTTCTTTATAAAATATTAAAATTGAAATCTAATTTAGCATGTGTTGTCGACAGATAGTTTTGGCATGCATGGTTACTGATAAACATTAAAAGGACACTAAATCCAATAGTTATCATAAGTCTATTAAGAAACGAAGAACTGTACTTGAAATTACGAGGATATAATGTGATCATGTCAATATTTTAATTTTAAAAGAACCAGCAGTTCATAGTTCCTCAATCTGACTTGCTTTATTTTAATATTAATTGCAATTTTATATTTGTCTGATAGAAAGCATTTCTTTTCTTCACAGTCTTGTCACTTTGCTATAGGGCTGGCTTAACTATAAGCTGGACATATTAGAACTGTCAAGTTTATGTTATGCTTGGGTTGGATTATGGCATTGTGTATTGCATGATTTTTTCTTGCATGTCCACAGGTTTCTTTAATGTGTTTAGCTTGACAACCTACAAAACCTTCTTCGTATTGAGAAGGAATAATCACTTTGTTTGAACTTCCAAAAACAAAATAATCACTTTGTTTGCCATGGAAATGGCACATATTTGGTCTTGTCATACCGTGTAATAAACTACACTGTTATATTTTAACTTCGCATATCTGAAATCATCTAGATATTCTGATAAGAAGGGCCGTGATTTTAAATCATTATCATTTGGGGACTGCTTTAAATTAGTGAATCAACAGTGTACTTTTTGGCAACAGTTGCTTTTATTGCTTTACTTATATCCGACATGTAATTATGAGGTTATACTTAATTGAATTCCTGAATATTTAGACTTAAAATAAAAAAAAATAAAAACCCTGATTATTTAGCCTAGTGATATAAAAATATGAAAATTTTCCAAATATTTTCTTGTTTTGCCAAATTTCGGAATGTCATGCCCACTATATTTTGATTGTTTGGCTTGGGTATCTAATGTGAATCTGAATTCAGAGTAATGGCTGACTGATTCCCAAACTTTGAACTTTGACTTGGGACCGAGTGGCATTCTTGATGGTTCCAAAATGAACGACCTTTTGGATGTGAATTTTCTGAATTGTGAATTTGTGATACATGTTTTTGTTGTTCTGTTGTTAAACACTGCTGAAAGACTGATGAAATTATTTTCTATTGCCATCTGCGCTGTGTTGGAATAAGATGCCAAAATATTGAATTTTGTTTAACAAATCTCCTCCCCACCCCCCTCTTCTGCCAAAACAATAATAATATAGATAAATAAAAAAAGGGGAGAAGATAAAAAGTGAAAAAAAATTAAGAGAGAAAATGAAAAGAAGTTATACTGCATCTTGCTAGGAGGTTAGGAATCCCAAAAAAGCATTTCGTATGGGCAGTTTCTCCCAGCACAACCGCTTTTACCACTTTTGCTTGTTTATGAGTTGCTCTTTATTGTTATTATTTATTTCATGTGCTTGTGCAATTTGGATTGAAGATTACTGGATTGAGTTGATGTGTATGCATGGGGTATGTGAGGGCATCCTTGAAATTTCCGTAATTTTCGTTGCTGCTTAACATAGAATATTTTAAATATTTTTATGTCATTTGACTTGTGTAGAGACGACACGACGGCTTAGGCAACGAAGGAAGAGAAGGCAGAGGTGGGTTTGGGGTTCGATTGCTGCTACAATTACACTTGGCACTGCTGCCTTGGCATGGTCTTACCTTCCAACAGGAAAAGGATCGTCTTCTACCAACCAATCACCTGAAGGTGACCATCCAACCGAATGACGGGCTTCCTGTTAAATAGCTAGCTGAATGAAATGTCATAGAAGAAGAAATAAGTGAACGAGAGGTCAAATATGCCATCTTGTGAATATTAAAACATCGAGCTTTCTTTTCTGGTTGCCTATTTTCTGCCATTGCAGGATGTGTATAGTTCCTGCATAATAATTTTTTTGTTCTTAAAGTTGTGCCTTCAAATGGCAATATATAGTTAGGTTATGAATCATATATTGGATCAGTCTCTGTATGTAAAAATCAGGTTTCCTCATGATTTTGTGCTATAGAATCTGCAAGCATTCGGACAGAGCACAAGGAATAACTAAATTCCTCTGCACATCCAAGTCAACCGAGATGGTTCTGCAAACGGTAATGTGGATTAGATTAGATTATGCTTACATGAGTAGTTTTGGATTCTAATTGGTATCTCATAAGTTTACGAATGAACTTGATTTTGCAGTTCGCTATGTCTCTTTGACATTTCATTGACCTTAAATTTCAAGGTGTTTATGCTTTGTGTGTCACAGGTTAGCTCTGTGGTGTCTGTCATAACTGCTTCGGAAGCTACCTCCGCCTGATCGTTTCTTCTAAACATGGTATTCTGAAATATGAGTTTTCGTTTTTAATTTACTTGACATGATAGAAACTTGTTAGTTCTGCAGAGAATTTGGATCCCGTCCTGTGCACTAGAGGGAGAGGGAGGGTGGGGATTTCCCGATGGGGGGTGTGGACCCCACCCCTTGTAGGAGGCGATCTACACCCTCTTAGTGCACTGGACTGTGGTTTAGAAAGCTAACCTAGACTTTGCTATTCAGCTTACAGCATAGTGATAGCTAGTCCTAGACCGTCGTTCGGAAAGCTAACCTAGACTTTGCTATTCAGTTTACAGGATAGTGACAGCTAGTCCTCCATTGCAATAGAATCTGGTCTAGTTCATCTTCAACCGAGAGTTGGATTGTACAGGTAACCGTGTGTGTTTGTGTTGAGTTCGAGTTGGACTCAAGTGGAGGACATGTACCTAAAGAACAAACCTCTTTCATATGGGAAAATAAGAGGTCCAAGTATATGATTTATCATTGGAGGTCAAATTTACTTGCAGTATTTGGGAGCACGTAATTGGGACTTTGGAATTGGAATCGGAAGAAATTTGGTTTAAAGTTTGAATTAAATTTCCTCCTATTTGAATCACACAATTCGGTGCTTTAAATGGAACATTAAATTATTCTCGAGCTGTTCTAAAATGATATATATATATATATATATGGAGTGGAGTATCAAAGAAAGAACCAACTGGTCATTGTCATCTATACGTAGCGCTGATGAAGACGGCAGATTCTATGCATTAAAGAAGAAAGAAACCAACATTAAGCATGGAGGTGGGTTTACATCAAAAACTGAAGTAGCACCAATGGCCTTTACAAATATTCCAAGGTCTTTACAAGTAAGAAAGTTGAATTATTGTCCTATAAAAGCCTTCTATCTTTGAATTAAAATCACTTTCCAAGTCATTCTATATTATTATGTTTAATATTATCGATTACCCACCATATCTCCTACATAACTTTCACGGCTGATTGCAGATTCCAAAGCGAAAGGAAAGCAGTTTTACACGACTAGACCATCCTTTCAACCTTTTGACATTTTCTTTATTTCTTTTGGGATATCAATAATCTAAATAATGAAGCTTTTACGCATACACAATCGTGGTAATTTATATTCTTAGAGAAAAATAATAAAGTCAAGGTGCTGAAACTATGGAACAAATGGACCCCATTACTCTATCCCCTTTGAAATTTAGACGACCCCCCTACCCTAGTGGAGCTGCATATATTATCTCATATATATATATATATATATATTTATGGGTAAATTATCGTAAATATACACATACCTCCCCCTTATTTGCGAAATTACACTATCTTCCTTGATATTTGTATTGAAATAGCACATACCTTCTATTTGTTAATAGCCAATGACAAAAAAATATTCATGTCAACAATTTTATAACTTTCAAATTTTCATTCTACCATTGAAAGACAAGTTTATTGTATACAAAATATATATATATATATATATATATATATAAAGATAAAAACATAATTACAAACCAGACTCGAACATGTAACTCTAACCGGTAGAGTAGTAAATTAACTCATGATGCTTGGAAGGTTTGGTGAAGTTAAGGCTGATTTGAGATGTTAGGGTAGAAGATATTGCAACCATAATTGGTGGCATGGGCTTTCATTCGAATTTCTAATATCTTGAGTATATATTCTTTTCTTATCTGACTTGTTTGATGATCACAAAGCTCAGTTTGTTATAGAATGCAATAGGCAGGTACACATGTTGCTCAGAAAAAAGTAATCCTTTTTTCTCCTAAACTTTGACTAAAGAAAATGGAGATTGCACGCATGATGAGTACAGTATTCATTTTGTACTGTCTGTTGTCCAAATTATATTATCACCATGAACATCTTTTACTTAATTGGACAGGTCAGTTCGAATTTCAAAAAGATCAAGAAATAGATTTCAATTACAAGTTATCAAATCTTTTTTTGCTTTCCGGAAGGCAAAGGACTAAAAAGGTATAAATAATCTTATGTTAGATTTGGACAGAAAGTTAATCATTTAATTCCATCTTTAACTATTACTTTATTATGATTAATATATGTATATATAATTTTTTTTTTTTTTTTTTTTTTTTTTTTTTCATGGTAAGAATGTGAGGAGTTAATAGTTAAGAGTAAGGGGAAGGGAGGGGGAGGAAGATTCAAGACTCGAATACGGGATTCCGAGCACGGTAGCAAAGGTAGATTTTTTAATTTTTTCCAGATACATAAGTAAATATAATTAACTCAACTTCCAACCAAAATTTTATAACTATTGGAGCTTGATTTGATCAATTCAAATATAATTAATAGGATCGTTTAGTTCATATAGAACTTATCACTAAAATACCCTTAGAGGGGAATAAGGGTAAACCGAAAATGATTTTTCATGATATAGAAAATGAAAACTGTTAGCCCACATGAAGTTTTGTGAATGAATAAAGAATATCTATCTTCTTACAAAAAAAAAAAGATGTGTTGAATTCATGGTTCATTAGAAACTTTTTAAATTACTCCAAGTTATTTAATCGTTTAATAACTGGAGTCATTATTTGATATTGATAAATAATCACTATGAATTCAACACAACATAATTAGATCAACCAAGAATTTTCTTTCTTTATCATCTCTCGATAAAATCAATGAATTACCGATCACAACCTATTAAGTTAAAGGTTTGAATTATTACATACATGTCAAAAAAGACTTGTTATTAATAACAAGACCAACAATTATGATACAAGTATGTAACAATAATGTAAAAAATAAAAATATTACATTCTTGATTCAGTTGTATTGTAGCGTTGCATTTTCATATAAAATTCATATACATCCTCTAAGTATTTGTACTGCATGAGTTTGTATATAAAATAATAATAATAATAATATAAATCTCCATCGATTTTTGTTACCAAATCTCCATATAAAATACATGATACATCCTCTAAGTATTTGTATTGCATGAATTTGTATAAGAAAATTAAAAATACTGCATTGGCCGATTTTTGTTACAAAATGATGTCATAATTATTTAAATAAATACACAATAATCAAGAAATTTTATTTTAATTTAATACCGACTAGAATTATTGTTGAACATTATTTATTGAAATCAAATAAAAATAAATAATTTTTTTAGCACCATTAATTGCAAAATATTTCACGTACCACATCTGGATTTAAAATGGGAAAAGATTGTCCAGGGCGGTGAGAAGACATTTAAGACAGCTAATTTTGTCAGTGATTTGGGAGAAAAAAGTAAGAGCTAGCAGTCGTTATCTTGTGATAGTACACCAGTACTACTCACCCCTACAGGCATCTATTCCCCATAGGAACCTTGACTCCGCCACGTTGTCTCTTTATTGCAGGAGCTAGATTGACCATCAATAATACAAACTACATTACCATGCAACACTGCAACACACACAAACAAATATATATATATATATATATATATATATATATATATATTTGTCAAAATCCATATCACAAAATTGATATGATATTGTATTTTGGTATAGCAACGGAGGAATTAAAATAAATTTTTAAATATTTTAAAATAAATTTTAGTTATTACACATGATTTCGATTTCTATTTCTATTTAAAACACTCCAACAACAAAATCGTTTGTTTTAATATTGATAAAAAAGTAATACCTAAAACACATCGCATGTCAAATCGGGCCCTTAAGGTCTGCTTGGTTTGTAATTCAATAAAAATTCTGTTTTTAGAAAATTAAAAACTATACAAAAAATTTCTATTAGGAAAAGAACTGTTTTCGGAAAACTGTCTTTTATAGTTCTTTGAAAATAGTTTTCTGTTATTTGAATTATTGAAAATTGTTTTCAGAGTTTCAAACTAAGTAAATCCTTATTTTTTTTGTTTCTACAAAGACCCGAATACTCGGCATTCTATTTTGAAAGATGAAAAAACATCACTAACTCACAGCCAGTGAAATGCATTGCGTAAGATAAAAGAAATTTAGGGCGATATCAATTATATATAAGAACATATTAATGTTTACTGGATGACTTTCATTATATAATTATATATTCTGACTAGTTTTTAGGCTGGTATATTTATTCTTTAATGAAAATTGATAACATCTAGTCTACAACATTGGAATATGAAAAAAAAAAAGAAAAAAAAAAAGCGACATTGATTTGAAATTCACTCCCTCAATTATGAACTATTCCCTGCTTCAAGCATTCAAGCATAGGATTTTGAGAATTTGTTGTCGGTCAACAGAAGACGTAAGGTTTTCCTCCAATGGGGATAAAACTATTCATGCATGCTCTTTTTTATTTGCTATTATTATGCTTGAAATTTACGTAAAACGCATTTCTGTCCTGAGAAAATTTGAAGAGACATTTTTGTTCTTATGTTGTAATGATAAATATTTATAAAAGTATAATGAATATAATTATCATTTAATACATTTGGTTAAAGTTAACATTGACAAAAAGAACAGTATTATCTACGGTTATACTTGCAAGTTACTTAATAGGCATTTTCACAATTAGAAAGTCAGAAAAATAATTTTTATCCATATGTTGTAATGATAAATAATAATAAAATACAATGAGTATAATTATCATATAATACATTTGGGTCAAAGTCAATGCTAACGTAGAGGGCATTATTATTTTTGAAACTAAAAGAGATACATTGATCAATAAGGGAGTTCTAGTTACTTTCAATTATTATTTTTTAACTATTTAAGAATTTTAATTTACATTATTATTCAATTCCACCTCTAAAGTTTAGTAACAAAGAAGAACAAAAACTTGACATCGACAATTCTTTCTAAATTTAGCATGAATAAATATTGTTTCATGTTTTTTCTTTTTAATACATGAAACTCACATACAAACTACTCTAATTCTCAATCTTTCATTGAATATATATATTATATATATACATATATATACACACCACTTGGCTAAGCCCATTTTAGTATATTCTTTTACATTTCAGATAAATTTATGCACATGTATCATTTACAAAGCCACAGCATAGATTGGATTGTCGAAATAAGTAAATTAAGTTTAAAAATTTATATATATATAGCAGTACCTATATCTATATGCTATTTATACAGGAAGACCATATTCATTCATACTTCCTTTTTCTATTATTAAATGCGCTTCACTTAACTCTTAAATTGAAATAATACTTGTGTACCTAATTTAAAGAAAAAAAGAAAAGAAAAAAAGAAAAGGTGCATTATGAATTAAGTACATTTATCATATCTGTATGTATATGTCTGTATATATATATATATATAAATGCGTGTCTATATACAGAGAGAGACATGGTGAGCTGACATGGCGACCTGTGTAAGCAAGGTTCTGTTTGGTCTGTAATTTGCATTGCTTAACCAGCAAAATTGGGACTATAAAAATGTGTAAAAAGAAAACTGACGCACCATGAATTTCAGGGTCACGTGATCACACTAGCATACACGAAGCGTGCTGCTACATGGTACGGAGTTACCATCCTGTGTGCAACAGACACGCCCTAACCTTTGCACCTATTTTTTTTTTGGTCCCACACTCCCACTTGCTTCTTTCATTGTCTCTAATGGCTCTTATAAGATTCCAATGCGTGTTTTGTGTTTTTACCTCTTCAACCATTCAATGACGCAGGATTGGGGTTGTTTTGATTATTTGTCATTGTTGATATATATATATATATATATATATATATATATATATATATGATTATTTGTGATTTTGAAAGCATGTTCAATAATGTAAATTTTATTGTGATATTTTTGGATTAAAAACATTAAAAAATATATGGTTTGTTTGGTTTGTAATTATGAAAATAATTTTTTGTTTTTGAAAAATTCAAAACAAAAAAAATGTACAAAAAAAATTCTACTTGATTTAGTTTTCTGAAAACTGTTTTTTCAAAAACTCAGTTATAAAAAAGTCTGTTTTCAAATAATAGTCTTTTATAGTTTTTTGAAAACTGCTATTTGTTTTCTAAATTTTTGAAAACGATTTTCAGATTAACAAAGTAACATAAGAGCAACAAAATAGCTGGTTAAAAGAACGGTGTTTGGATATTGGTCAATGCTAATTACAATACGAAAACACTCACGAATTTGGTATTTTTTATTTAAGACTTCATTTTGTCGACAAATTGAGTATACTCAAATGACAACAATAGATTCCAAAACGTGTTGAGATGTTTGTTTTACCACAGTGCACACTACCTGTAACAAAAAATACTCATCGAGCAAGAACAAGTGAAATGATGCTAGAAATGTGTACAAAAATATTTCCTTATACGCAAAGTTGGTAGATTGATCTAATTAAGTAGGTTAAGTTTAAATTCAATTTCATCTCCTAGAATTGTCGTGTAATTTTTATTGGACAACGCATGCATTCACCACTAAAATATAAACAATTCTAATTGTTGATATGGACTAATAACAAATAGACTTGTCTTATTTAATTATCAAATCAGAAATGATATAACACATGCTTACCAAATTATATAGAAGGCGGTTGGATAATTAAAATAAGATTTATTCATTTTTTATTGATCCACGTCAAACTGGTCTGCCTTTTGAATTCCTTGATCAATATAGTTCAAACATCAACATTATCTGTGTGAATACATAGAGATATGATGACAGTCTTAATTAATAAATTAACAAAGCTGCTTTAAGAGGCTATTTAAGGCAACTGGCTGAATCCCAATTGAAATTGCTACTTATTTTTAATCGACTAGAAGGCCAAGTGACCCCCCAAAAGAATCCTGTTTTAAATTAATTTGCAGGTAAGCATTCACGTTTTGCCATGCCAACTCCAAAGGCACAATTTTTTTTTTTTTTTAAAAAAAGAAAAAACTTTGAATGCTACTATTTTACCAAGGAACAAGTAATTCCTAAAATGCTTTACTGTTACATAATTTTTTTGTTTTTAATTCGTAGAATATGTTATATAACATTGTATTTCAAAATGTATAAGAATTTTATGTGAGTGCAAGCCCGTACTAACCAAGGAAGCAGATGTATATGGTTAGAGACCACTCCACTATGCTGCATGGGAAAGAGATGCATCAATGGTTAGACAATTACTTGATTTGGATGAATCGGTAGTATACCTTATTGCAGATGAAGATGACAGCAAGACAGCTCTTCACGTCGAGGTAACGTAGAAATCATAAAAGACATAGAAGTCATTGACTAGATGATGGTTTAATAATTAAAATAAGACTTATTCATTTTTTATTGATCCACATTAAACTGGTCTACCTATTGAATTTCTCGATGAATATAGTTCAAACATCAACATTATCGGCGTGAATTTATAGAGATATGATGACAGTTTTAATTAATACAGTAGGCCCAACATTTATCTATCCATGAGGATATTCATGCATTTGTAACAACTAAAGTTTTGTCCTTGCACTAGATTTTTATTTTATTTTTTATTTTTTATTCCCGGTAATTAATCTGTAAATGGAAGCAACTGAGGACTAATACGTATTGAGCTCGTCATGCCAATTCAATTCCTTGATCAATATGGTTCAAACACTGTGGGATATATATTTTAATTTCGGTATCAAAATAAGTCCAATCGAGTTATATTTTTAAATTTCAAGTTCAAGATCGACATTGGTTACAAAATTGAAGAGTTGTTCGTTTTTCGTATATTGAGATCTATTAAAAAGGTATGAACAATATTTTAGGAAGTTGAGTTATGTTTTTTAAAAATTTTCATATTAGAATTTTTCTTAGTGCTTAATCTTTTCATACGAATCTGTCATTTGGGAACCAGTTCCAATAGTGGCTACCGGTTCATTGCAGATTAGGTAATCAGTTTTTGCATTAACACTTACGTCTTCATCACTAAAATGTACACAATTCTAATCGCTTATATGGACCAACAACAAATAGTCATACCCTATTTAATTATCAAATAAAAAATAGTACAACACATGCTTGCTAAATTATATAGTTGGTGGTTTGATAATTAAAATAAGACTTGTCCTTGTCCATTTCTTCAACTACTTCATCACCACTGTCACCTTATGAGTCTTCAAGCTACAGGGCAAATCCACCCATATTTGCGAATTTCCCTAAAGGGAGCAAGAAAATGACGCCCAGTTTTAATGGTTCTATAACTGATATTTGGTATGATTTTTTACTAATTAGCTCTGCGGTCACGATGTTGTACGTGTGAGAACCTAAAATATTGTCCCAATATTTTTAACCATGGGACTCAATCATATTTCTTTCATTTTATTTATTTATTTATTTTTTGTATATAATAAAATAATAATAGATTTTCCTCAATTAAAATATTACCAAAATGGTGTAATATTTACAATTAATCTCTGAAATATGATGCATGTTATTAGTATCAAGGTTAATTTTAAAATTTCATACTCAAAACTAGGAATCGAACAAAAGAATTTCTCTCCTGATTTGGTTCCCCACCTCATCGTGTCCGCATCATGGATTGAAGAAAATCAAGAATCATCGTGTTCGCGCAACAGTGTATACAGCAAACAACGATCCAGATCAAATGTTGGATTTGTACTTGTGGTGGACCTGTTCCACAGAATAATTTATCCCAAATCTAAATAAGTTTGAAAAATGAAAATCTATGTACTTCGAGGCTATAAATAGGCAAGACCAGTCCTCTCAAGGGTTCACTTCACCGAACTTGAAGTAAGTCAGCCTTTTCCATCACTGCTCTCTCTTTCTAACAATCTTTCCATTCCTTTCTCTCTCGAAAGATCCAGCTCGTCCCTTTAATTTCCCTCCCTCTTTTCCAAACTTTCCCGGAAAATCAGCCCCCAAACAGAAAAAAAAAAAAAAAAAAAAACACATTCACAACTCTCTGTAACAATTTTTCCATTTCTTTCCCTCTCCAATGATCTAGCTCGTTGTTTTCCGTTTATTTCATTCTCTTTTTCTTTTCCTTCTCTACTTTCCCGGAAAATCATCCCCAAACAGAAAACACCACACCTCTCTGTCTGGAAATGGATGCTTTTAATTTCGATAACGTGAAGGTCGAGAAGGCGAACGCGATGCTAAGATTTCATCGCCTCCAAAAAGTCGCCAAACTGTTTCGACTCCTCGAGCTCTGCCTCGTTCTCGTTCTCATATCCTGGACCTCCACTCGCCTGCCGTTCGCAGTCAAAATATCCGGCGAATACTTCCGGCAACTCCTCGCTATCATCGTTAGCCCTATCTTCATCTTCGTCCTCAGCAACGTGATCGTCGTCACCCTCTTCGCAAAGTCCGGCCAGACGCCGACCGCCGTCGACAATGCCGAAACAGATCTCTGTGAAGAACTCATCAGAAACAGCGACAATCAATTCGATTTCCGGTCCAAAATTTATACTCCGGTGCCGGAACCGGAGGAGATCGTGTTTGTGGATAAACAGATCATATGCGAAGTAAACACAGTTACTTCAAACAACGAATCTACAATGGTGGCCAATCCAGTTATGGAATCGAAAACTTTTAGGAGGACTAGGTCGGATAATTTGAAGAGAGAGATCAGTTCGGAGAATAGTCACGAGAAACTCCGGCGATCGGAGACTGATAAGTTCCCCAACGACATGTATTCCGGCGAGTTTCTACCGGAAAAGCCGTGCTTGTTCGAGAAACTGAGCAACGAGGAGTTTCAGCGCAGGATAGAAGCCTTCATTGCTAAGCAAGTCAAGTTCCATCAAGAAGAGAAGATGATAATTGTACCTCAAAATTACTCTTAACTAATTAAAAAAAAAAAAAAAATCAAAACTTACCTTTTATTTTTCAAAATTTTCATCAGTAACACGTGTATAAGTGATCGCGACCGTTTCATATGTAGTGTTATGCGGTGGTATGTAGTATGTACGGTAGTATTAAATTGTTAAGGAAAAACATAGTAGGGACTTTGTGGATAAATGTGATATGATATGGGGATTATATGAAGTTCTAGTGATCTGGGCCGTTTATTTAGTATGTCATGATGCTTGATATTCAATCTGAGCCGTTGGTGAGTTTCAGAGCCAGTAGATAAAGATATATTGTTGTCTGGCATATTATGGTATGAGTATGCTTTACGGATTTATTCTGTGTTTTGTGATCTTATATATATATATATATATATAGTGGAAGGGAAAAATGGAATATGTAAATCCAAAATCTATTAGTGACTCTGAGTCATGATGTGCATGATTATCCATTGCTATCAATAGTTTGTACAAAATAGGAGTTTGATATAGGGGAGAAAAGGGTGTCCAAAATAGGGCATTTATCAACCCTACATTACCAGAATAATGTCCTTTTCCTTTCTTATGGTATGTGGGTATGCATTTACTGACCTAATGACTTTTTTTTTTCTTTCTTCAATGATGGTACGTGGATCTCTTGAAACACTCCATAATTCATTATTAGACACATGTAATCCTCTGTTTCACATGCACCGAGCCATTACCGACAAAAGTCTTAGAAAAAGGCTTGAACTCTGAAGTCTGATTTATTTGTCATTTAAAAAATAATTTTTAAGAATTCAAGAAAATATTTTCATAAAATTATCTAGAAAAAAAAACATTTTATTTTTAGTTTAAGAAAAAAAAAATTATTATTAGAAAGCTGAACCAATTAGACCTCTACGTTTTTACTTTAAAAAGAGTAGAATTTGATTTTTGAATTTCACTTATTTCTTGCACTTCTTAGATTAATTTTTAAATTTTCTTATTTCGTTAATATCTAGCAAGTTAGTCAGTTTTTAATGACGTGTTTGGCACATAGGGTGTATAAGAATTGAAAGGATTATAATAGTTACAATAGAAAAGAAAGAAAATAAAATGACATTATTAATATATTATCTTAGTTGGGATAACTATGAAAGACCGAGAGAGAAAAGTGTGCAACTAACCAAACAGGAATTTTAGGAAAAAGATCTTTTAGATTTTATATCTCTTTCCTTTTTTTTACAGTCTATATGAGAGGGTTTGTTTCTTATTATATGAGTAGATGGGACAAAACAAGAGTGAAAGACAGTGACCACTTTTGTTGGATGATAGTCCAAACATTATTTAAGGATTAGCAAATCACTCTTCCATCCACTTAATTATTCATTTCCTTTCCTTTCCTTTCCCTCCTGATCATTTTTAAACTATTCCTCTTCTCTTTTCCCTTTCCTTCCTATCCCTTCACTAAAAACTTACTCCGTTAACAACCAAAAAGAAAGCAGCTTCAATTGAAAAGGTTAATCATGAACCCTGCAATTAAGAAGCAATTAAAGGTATGTTTTTAACCATCATTTCAGGCTTAATCAGTCTCTTCTCATAGAAGAAATTGAATCTTGCTAAGAAAAGACTCATTATTGTGAATGTACCACAATTATTTTCTTATTGGAATGATTGAAATAATCTAATCTGTCACACCAAGTCTCTTCCACTGTGGTTCTGTTAAGCATTAATGTCCCCACTTATTTATTCTTAAGCAGCAAAATTTCTGTTACCACATAAACAAATTATATAAAATAATAGAGTTTTCTAGTGGATGGTAGGACTAATCATATATTATATGAATATATGGTAATAATGTTCTACCCTTTGTGTACTTTACTTTCACCATCTCTATAATCTCTCAATCAAAAAAAAAAAAAAGAAAAAAAAGTCACTTTAATTGATTTTTCTAGTGATAGATTAGATTCTTAGTGAAGTGATGTGCATTTCCTCTCCTTGTATTCCTCCTTTTTTCTTCGAGTAATCATGATCAATTCCACTATGAATGACAATTAGGGTTTTTTTTTTTAAGAATTTATTTACCCAACTAAGACAATGCTTTTTGCTTGTGATAATGTTTCTTTTCAAGGACATGTCAAACACTTTGGTTGTTCTTTTTTCTTTTTGTTTCTCTTTAGTGTGTGTGTGTGTGTTTGAAAGACTAAAGAGAAAAAATTAGTTCGGAGTGTTCCAAGGGGGTGCTTAGTGGTGGGCACCAAGAGAGATGCTTTTTTGTGAAGGAATGCATATTCTATGATTAGGGTTTTGATTTATCTATTATTAGTTGGAGAATTTATTTTGCTCAAGGGGAACATGAACATCCTCCCTTTGTCTATTGATATGTCAATCTCATTTTCTCAAGTGGCTTGTTTGTTTGCTGGGAAAGTGAAGAAAAAAGAGAGGGAAAATTAGTGGACTTAAACTATCTGTGGTTGAAATTAAATTGAATATCAAAATATAATGAATTAAAAGTCATTCTTATGTAGGTCATCTGTGAACATAATCAAAGAAGAAAAACCATGTGAGGATATCAGAGGAGCTTATCCAAGTGCTTTTCAATCTTTGGAGTTTTATGCATTGAACCTCCAATTTTAAAATACATGAGAACCTGATGCTAGTAAATAAAAATTAATTTAACTACATATATTCCCACCCTTTTCAATCTTTTTGTAATTATGCTTCATTTATAAGTGGAATGATGTATAAGTATATGTCATTATCCTAAATGTATAGCTAAATGGGATGATAACAGTACTCTTGATTCTAACGGATTGAGTTGTTAGAAAATTGTGATTGATAAAGAATAAATAATGAGAGAATAAAAACTAAAATTGAAGCATTGGAAAAGAAAAATAAGGAAACAACTTTATTTTATACTGTCTGGACGGGCTAACTCAGCTGGTAAGGTTTTTGGAGATACTATCCTTAAATTTCTGGTTCGAGATTCATCAAAGGTGATGTCCAAACTTAAATGATGCACGTAATTTACAAATTATTGCGTGGATTCAGAGTTTGTAAATCATCCGAGAGTCTAAAATGACTAGCGAATAGATTGATTCTTCCTCCTCTATATTATATAAGTTATGCCTTTGAGCATCCATAGAAAATTTGAAGCACTCTTTGGAAGGGAATTACATTCATTCTATTTATGTCTTGTTTCTTCTGCTAACTAGTCTTTAATCTTATCAAAACTAACAAATTAGGAACAAAATATATGATATATACAAGTGATGTCAAAGACAATCTAGGTAAGGATTTTGGATACTTTGTCCACTAAGGCAACAAAATCAAGACTGAATTGACAATGAGGTTGTCCTATTCATTGTTCCAATGCCATCCATAAATAAGGTTATGGTATATATTCTCTTGAGTCATCACCATGTCAATTATATTGATTAAAAAACATACAAGAAAAAGCCTGAATTTGCACCAAATTCCAAATTCTCAAACATAACAAACTATATATATACATTAGAGCATGGAGTTCTTTTTAAATGGTCAATTTGGTCATACCCTTTTACATGGTTGGTGTTCATGACTGAGGCTATGTGGTTGGATTCTTGTGTTTAGGATGATGTAACTCATGCGTTTGTTTCCATTATCGTTGCTTTTTTTTTTTTTTTTTTTTTTTTTTTTTTTTTTTTTTTTTTTTTAACTCTTGTCTCTCTTTTCAACATTCAAAGTCAAACCACTTATGAAAACCCCTACTATTGTTTTGCCTTCTAATTTAATACGTCTAATTAGAGCATTGATACAGAGTCCCGACTCTTAAAAGCCCAACTCTAGGAGGGAGGCAACTGTTGGATCCGTTATGAGATTTTTCACGTCATCTGAGAGGAGAGGTTGTTGACACTTATATGTTTTGACACCTTAAATATGTAAACGCATTTTGAAAATCGGAAGATGGAGAGTACAAAGCAGACATGATCTACACAAGGTGCAAAAATCCTTTGTATGATGTATTATTTCACGGATTCAGTGTTCCATTGCTCATTGAACATGATTGATTGTATTAATTTGATGTATTTCACGACGGATTCAATGAAAACCTAGAAATTTTCTTGTTGAGAATTGCCAAGAGAAGCCTCAATGGAATTATGTAAAAATGTTGAGGGTTTAAATGTGTGTTAAGGGAAAAATTATGGGTTACTGGTGCTTGAAAGAGAAGTGGGAAAGAAGGTGGAAATAATTGACGAAGCCCATTCACGGCCCATGTGCATGGAGAGAGTGTGGCTCACCCAGGGCTATTTTGGGTGTAGTTTTGGCCCACTTGTGTGGTATTTGGTTGAATCTGATTTTATGGGCCCACAAACTTTCCGACCAGATTCTGACATCCCCTAGGGTAAGAAGTTATATATGTGGATACCTCCCAATTATATAGACGTGTTTTGAAAACTGTGAGTGTGAGTTTGAGGAGTTTGCAAAGTGAATAGTATCTACACATTCTTTCACTTTTTAACATTATAAAAGGGGAGGTTGCAGGTAACTGCATGCATAAGCTTGGGACCTTAGGCCCATGAACTGGTCAGGCCCATATAGCTAAATACAGCCCCATTTGTAATAACTCACAAATCATCGCCTAGGCCATGGCTTTATTGAGCCTTAGATTTGGTCCAGCAATGTCCACGTGCATAAGTTTGTACATATCATAAAATTACCACCAAAATGTTGAATCTCAAAATATAGGTGCAGGATGGACTTATACATATTAAATTTGCATTAGATAATAAAAAAACATTTTTTTTTTTTTTGACATGACTCGTACACCCATTCGGAGACTCAAACCCTCATTATTAGAGGATGAAAACACGAGCAAATTGCAAAGCTACACACACAAAGCAAATCATTGCAAAACATTACGATGCCACATTATACATATGACATTACCAGATAAAAGATAGTCTATATGATATTACCACATATGATTAGTCGTCCAATTTTGCTAGCCAAGCTTGATGATCATCCTGTTTTAGTCATGGCAATGACCACATTGA